TCATGAAATCTGCAGCAAAAAGAGGTCTATCTATCACAATGTCTACCAGCAACATTTAACAGCAACTCTTACAGTGGTTTCTGAGTAGATGGCACAAGTTACCCCAGGTTTGGTGGTTTATATGGACCCTCCATCCAAAAGACATCTGTGGGATTTGTGCCATCTACTGTGAAATCACTGTAACTCAAAAAACAACCTCATGGGCCTGGAGATGTTCTGCCCTCCGCTGCACCGCTGCCTGCCCCTACTGGCGCTCAGCAGCCGTGCCAAACTGGGCGTCGCTTGGCTGTTGTTCACGAAGACTGCCTTGCGCCGAAGCAAGGAGCACTGACACCATTCCAGAAGTTCGACCGATTTTACACATGCAGAGTTTTAGGATGTCCAATACACGGTTCTTTTTGGGGCATGTGCTTTTGCCACCCTGCATGCTATACTAGCTAGGATTTATGCTGTCTGATGGCTTGGGAAGAGCAGGCGGGTACTCCCTACTCCTCTGTCAGTGCGCTACCATCGCAAGAAAACATAGGAAATAACATGGAAAAAAAAAAACAATGTCGGGCACATGTGGGGATACAGGCTCGAGAATGCTCTGATTGACTTCAGCTATTTTCCCTATCCTTGGGCTGATGAGAAAGGAGTTGTTACCAAGCTGCCAGCGCAGCCGTTTCCTGATGAACAAGGAATTGTTGATTTTGGCACATCTCCGTTAACTCCTTGGTCACTAGGAGGTATATCGTATAATTGTTCTTGTTGTCCTAGAATGCACTATAACTAGAATAGCTTTCAACGATTCACAACGCATGCAGCTGTGCGAATGGCTTGCCCACTCGCGGGGGGGCCCCATGGGCTCACATGCACCCTTCCGGTTCCCATTGGGCCGAGTAAGAACGACCATGTGGACCATGCCATCTTCGGATTCAGATACCACTATACCCAAACACGACACATGGGACTGCCATATATGCCTATATACATTGACCCCCCAGTCAACCACCCCTGGCCGTGCCACTCGGCAGTCCGACATGGCAGGTCCCAGACGGGTCGTGTCTGGGATATAGATCTCAAAAGCATCGGACATTCGGTTTTTCCCTGTCCCAAGATGCCCCTGTCCCTCACCTGTAACACAGGTATCCAGTGACCGTAAATAGGACCCGGAAAACCTGGGGTACCTACTTATGGGATAGCCGAACTAGGGTTCTGACCCACCTCTGTTGGTACTTGTCATTCTTCAAACCTGCTGCTTTTGATCTTCCTCGCAAGATGGCTCGCTCTTTGATCGCCCTGCTGCGGGCGCACCGCCGGCCCGTCGCCTGTGCGGATCCGCGGATCTGCACGTGAGGCGACTCCTGAGTGATGCGCTGAAGCGGCCGGAAGGTGGTACTGTAGACCTTCTCGCTGGTGCCATCCATCTGCGTGCTCACAATCACCTCGTGCTGCACGGATCGGCACGAGCGAGGACGGCGAGCGAGGAGGGGGTGTTGGAGGGACAGAAAGGTGTCTGGGGTGTGCGAAGATGTCAATGGATGTCATGATGTGTCTTTTTGGATATTCTATTTTTTGGGGTGATGTAACTCATGTTTTAAAGAGTGAAGTGCTCCAAGTCCAAGACTGGTTGGGGGGTTCAACTCACAAACACACAAACATGAGTCCGTGGCTTCAATCAACCAATTCAAAGCAAAGGTTGAACATAGAATTATCTGAAACCACCACCAAGAAACCAACATATTTCACTGTTGGCTTGACATATCTTGGGGTTGTGTTGCCAAGAGAACTGTAGTGGGTGATGATGGTGAAAGCACCACCCAGAAGATTGGCTCAAACTTCTGACTCCTACCTCTTAGTGGCTTTCATCTGAAGGTCACCTCAACCCAATGCACCAATTCTTTTAATTGAACAAAGGGGCTTATCTACAGAGGTCAAAAAATATGTTGGACTCTGGTCAACTGTGCCATGAGGCAAAGTCTTGGATACTCCTGAAACGGTTATGGCAACCACTTGGCAAAGAACAAAACGCTTTCCAATCCTCAAATATCCTCTGTGAGCATTGCTTTTTATCCAGAGTGTCCAAGCAAAGTGGGCAGAAGGATAGACAAGGGGTTCACTCCTCCGTGCAGTCGACCGCAAACACGAGAAAAGACCAAGAAACGCCACTCGCGTTCAAGTGACGTGGGGAGATGGCGTGTAGATAAAGTACACGGAGTCTTTGTATGTGAAGGGAATCCAATTCTTCTCCGCCACGTCCGTCTGGCCATACGTGAGCCTCGTTGGAGCTGGGGGCCGGGGCTGAGGTCTGATCAGTCGCTGAATCGGACACCGGAGTCTCTGAGTCCCTAGGACTCCAAGTCGTACCGAAACGAAACAAAGGTATGACTGGAGCCTGGCACCCACCCCAAACAGCTTCGTTTCACAAAGGCGCTTGGAGCAGGTCCGGATTTGTACTTACAGTATCTTACAGTAATGAGCACAGTTGAGAAAAGTGAGCTGTGAAGCACTTGTTGCACGGCCAAATCACATGCAAGCTGAAGGGTGGAAGAAGGAGAGGTGAACCACTCCGAGCCAGTGACAGTGTTTCTTTGGAAGAACCCAACGGGCCAGGTCCATCACACTAAGTCTAACAAGCCCCACTGGTAAAGGAACAAATAACAAATCATATATGATCATATAAAATATCAATATATATATATATATGCACCTGGACCTTCCTTCATTGAACAAACATAGTTGCACTATGTTGCACTCTTGACTTTGAGGAGATCTCCGTGTAAGGTTGGATCCATGTGAGTCATGACATGATGGTCTGAACATCCACCTCCGAGATTTCGCATTGGATTTGGTGTTGGGGACGACGAATCCCGGATCGGAAATCTTCTTGGGGCACTCTTGAAGTTTTGATATGCTAGTACTGTCTTTCAAACGTGGGAAGCAGAATAGGGCTCAAAGTAAAACAGTATATGATCTGATTGATTCGCTTTCTTGTGTGTTAACTGTTAAATGAAAAGGTAGAGTCTGGTTCACGTCTGGTTCGAACCCCCCAAGAAACGTTCAAATGATTGACCATTTTGCAGCAAACGCATTTGGAAGGAAACATCCAAGATTCAATTGTCCAGGCCCAACGCAAAACCAACATCTCTGAACCACCCCGTCATGCAGGTCGTCATGCAGGTGAGCTTACTTAGCTCCGTGTTGGAACAAACCGACTTTCGGAAAAAGAACGCCTGCTTTTCGTTGTGCCGGAACCTCCCAAAACCATACGTGATATTATGTGTTTAACGAAAACCAATCAACATATCACACCGAAGATTCAGCTAAAACCTAAAACCCCTGGTTTGTATAATCCTCCAGCTTTCAGGAGTTTCTGGTTCGTTGGCTTTCAGTTCGTGGGTCACTTCTGAGGAGGATTTGTTCAACACTACAAGAAGAGCTGGGTTGACAAAGCCCAAAGTTAAAACCAACACATCTCTTAAACACCAAAAAATGCGAAACGCACACACTTGACACACTTCGTCGAATCCGATCCGAGTCAGTGACTTGATGGCTCCCAACCCTCCATGTGCATCCAGCGGCCGATAACCGACCATGGGGTTCCCTGGCTCCTCGATATTCACACCCTGCGCCATGTACATCCTCGACTGGCGGCTGAACCGGTGGGGTTCAACGGTGGCCTTGTCGGTCGGTGAGTGATTCAGCGCTGACGCTGGACGTGTGGACGTGCGTCAACACTGCATGACGAACAAAAGCACATGCAGTGCATGTATATACAGTAGTAATTCTGAGTCTGATGAACTCTTCGTGTAGAGTCTAGAGGTTGGTTCAGCCAGCCCCCAAAAGAGATTGGCATCTTAGGCAAACTTTAACCCAATCTTGAATAAAGCACATTCGTTGGGAGATCTTGGGAGGCATCTGGGCTGGCGTCAATGTCACAAAACACCATCTGACACGCAAAACCTGCTTCAAACCACCACATCGCCTTTTCCAATATGGTGCAGGTGGACTAGGCAAACAGGTGCAGGTGGACCTGGCGAACTTCGCAATTTCGCACCTCAAATGAACCAAAAACCATTGCAAGGATTGATCCCTAGGGATCCAAGTTCCTTCTCAGGAGGTGATTGGAGACACTGTTATGTAGGTTTCGAGGGTCCAAGTACCTTCTGAGAGGGTACTTGGATCCCTAGGGGATCAGCAGTCCTTTAATTCTGTAGCTCTGCACTACATTCGGGTTTCAAAGATCTTTTGCGTCTTAGCCTGATCAATCATGATCAATCCGCACTTGAATTTGGGTGAACATTCACTAGAGTTTCTATAACTTGATCCTTATAAACTCCAAAAAGTTATATACCAAAACATAGCCCTTACAACAGGCTTAACCCTGCCCATGTCCTAGAGGAACTCCTCATACAGTTATACCAAAAACATCTCTCCCTGTAAAAACTGCTCTGTCTCGACCGCACATCCAAGCGTCTGCGTGACCGAGTCCGCGAAGCCTCGACTTCTTCGGCACGTGGATTCATCGCCTGACGACGCTCGGCCGCGTGGAGCGAGCTCCAGGCAGGGGACGGACACCGATCGGAAGGAGGGTCCAGGTACCCATCTCGTTCTACCTGGATCACACAGTCTGGGTCTGGGTGTGTCAAACAGCTGTAGATCTCGGGATAGTAGGCTTTGATGTAGATCTCGGACGCGCAAAAACGGGATGGTCCTTGGAGAGTCTGTCTGGGTGTCTGGTATTTTGTGTTTTGCTTTGATCACTGGCCTAGTGAAGTAACGCGTTGTTTTTTTTTCCAATCCAAGTCCAACATCCTACATCCCCTATGGATCCAAGTACCTTCTCAGATGGTGATTGGAGACACTGTTATGTAGGTTTCGGATCCCTAGAAAAATCCTACAAGAAGCAATAGAACAATGTTCGTAACCTTCCATCTTCTCATCTTCCATCATCTTCCTCTCCCACATGGCAAGGAAACCATCTAGGTGCACACACTCCCACCTCGAAACCCGTGCAGTCAGCCCCCACCTCCATGAGGTGGCTTGGAATCAAAGGCCAAGGTGACCTTGGAGGGCGGAACAGCGGGTTCCGCGACTTCACCGGATTCCAACACACATCGTCCATCATCTTCCCACTCTTCCCCAAGCTGTGGGGAGTCACTCACTGTGTCACTTTGGGAGAATCACCATCACTGACTGTCTTGCTGGCAAAACATGACCCCCGGTCATAGATCGAAGTTCGGATCGATCCCCCGAAGGATCGATCCCCCGAAACCTTCGAACATCGTGCCACAGGACATCGTGCCGTCATCGATGTGCCAGGTGACGCTGCTGGAAGCACCCACTGGCTTCGGATCCTCAGGACCTCCGCCGGGTGTCCGCCGCCGCGGTCGTTCTGGATGACTGGGGATTGCATCATGCTGAAACATCTTGAAACAGCAATGCATTGCTTGATTCAATCAGGACATAAAAGGTTAGAACCGTACACAAACGGCAAGTCTTCTTCTGCTTATTCTATGCCCAAAGGCTCATTGGACCCTCATAGCTAGGGTTTTCACCCTCACAGCCAGGGTTTTGGACCTCAAACAGGTAGCAGTTTGAGGGTCCATGAGCCTCTGGGTGAGTGATTTTGATATGTTTAGATGGTTAGTATATGTTAGTAATTGGTTCATATGTTATCATATTATAAGTCATGACGGCTCAGTGGCCAATGACACACTGCGTGGTGACCTATATCAAGACTTTGGCATTGGCTTTCAGGTTTCTTGCAACTTGCAAAAAGGTGGACTGCAAGGTCCCACGAGCCTTGCCGAAAGGGGACGGACCCAGCGTTTCCCGCAGAAATCAACGGGCCACGCGGCCGCTGCAATTCGCTGGTTTCTTCGGCACCAAATGGTTCGACGAGGAACCGTCGATCGATTCGGACCATCCGAAACGGGCCTGTCACGATGTGGCGGATCACGGTGCTGTTGCTGGGGATCCAGGTCTCAACGACACAAAGCCTCGAAGTCTCACGACGCCGGCATCGGTGGGGGTGGGGGTGCAAAATCACCGGTTGGGTGGTTGGGCGGTCACCGGTAGTCAGCTTCTTTCTTTTCGAGCGGTGAAAAGAGTATAGATGGCAGGAACTGCCGTCCTAGACACAATGGGGTTAATTGCACCACCGGCATAGGAGGATTGCACCAAGTCTGCAACCACTGTAAGAGGTCCTCATCATGAATCCACTCTTGTGAAGGTCGAGTTGGTGGAAGCAGAATAGCAAGTGTTGCATTGAGGGATGTATAATAGTGTATAGCACAATGGGAATGCCCGATTCACCCTTGACCTTGAACTTGATATATACCAAGTCACCAGAACCAAATGCATCCCAAGGTAAAGAACATGTTCCAGCACCACGGAAAGTGGGTGATAGACACCCATGATGGTGTATCTTCCCCCAACAAATACACCTGAAAACTCTGGTTCTGCTCGTGCAGCTCGGCCTTGCTCGTCTGATTTCAGTCCTGCCAGGCCACTCGGTCCACTCCTTGCCCTGCGGTGTCCTCAATCCACTCCAGGCGCTCATCGACATATCCTGAGAGACCGTCGCTGCCAGGCACAAGCGACGGTAAAAGGGACTCGATATTGTACGTAGGCTTAGTACATGGAAGTGGACGAGGTCTCCATAAGTAACATCGTCCTCCAGTTCGTAATCCATACCAGGGCCCACGGCTTTGAGGTGTCTAATACATTTTTAATAGCCCCTGTGGAGGTGACCCCGCGGTGTCTAATCCCGAGTACCTATTTAAAAACACTCCCCGACTCCCCCAATAAAAAGAACACCATGTCGGAAACCCCTAAATACAGTTTATATTTGTAAATTACCGCCCTTTAAAACCGCTACTAAACTACCAACATGGCCGACTTGGGTGGAGTTCCTTGTTTTTAGGATCTATATAAAACAACCCTAATTGCCCACCTCTGTCCACCCTGTCTATCCACCATGACACGCCGCGTTTACACCAGCCGGTTTTCCTTCCCGCAATGGCACGGACTCACCTTTCGAAAGCTTTAGTTGCTAGTCTAATGAAGAATCACTGAATCACTATGTTTAATGTTTTACAAAGGTTTGTGTAAGGGGAAAAGGAAGACCCTTCGATGTGGAGGTTGTTTCAATTTTTGATACGAGTTTAATAAAGGATTGTGTATAAAGATTTACTGGGTGACTTTTTGGTTAATCAATGATTCAAGGATCCTCTCACTGACCCGATTTTGGACAACCCCGATTTCAGGGATCCCCTATATAACAAATGCACCCGCGTTTTTGTTAATAGGGGTGGCGTGTCTTTTAATAGGTGGAGGGGATTATTCACCACTTCGACTGGGGAGTCCTGGTAGTCGTCTATCTTCATCCGCTTCCATGTATTGTCTGTTCGGAGGGTGCATCCCCCTAAGGGTGGCACAATGGATTCTGGTCTAGCTACTGTCTGACGAAACTCATCACATGGTCACGTGGGGAACAAAGGAGCATGGCCTCCGAAAACGACTGCCCGAACAGAGGGTTTTCCACTCCACTTCCATATATATGATGTCCTCGTTGGAACGTATAGCTAAGGCCGCTCGCAAGAACGACTGGGATCCACATGGTGTCAAGAACCTCGAAGCAAGCCACGGCGATTCCTCCCGGTGCTGTCCAACGTGCAAAGCTCAGCGGCTCTCTCCATGGTTTCTCCAATCCTTTAATCCTTTTTGATACACCAGTCTATGGATCTTGCCTATGTTCCATGAATCTTAGGTGCAGGCCACCGCCCACCGCATACCGGCCCCAGAACGCCTCCCACATCGTTCCGCGCAGGTTGCGCAGCTGGTTGCGCCAGGGTTCCATGGGGCTGGAACCTCCTGTGGGCCACTTTTTCCAGGCATCCGCGTCGATGGCCTGACCATTGGAGGCGACAAACACATGGCTGTGGGTCATGGCAGGAGACCGACTGGTTGACCGGTTGACCTACCTGAGAGTTCTTCGCTACATTACATGGGCTCCAGGGCTCCAGATGTCAACCAGGGTGATGAAACCGAACAACTACCGCATAGAGATTCAGAACCAGGAATTGTCAAACAATGTAAGTCATCTCCGTCTCCTTGTGGGTCAATGGTGGGTGGGTGGAACATCGACCAATAGGGAGACCAGAAAAAGCCTCCGAAATCCTGGAAGACGGAACATCGACCACAAAGACCTGGGGGTCTTTGGAGGTCTTTCCCTATATTGTCCTCTAAATTACATGAGATCTTTGGTGTATGATCTATCTATCTATCTATCATTCAGATACGAAGTGCCATGTGGTGATGGTCGCAGGATTCGCTTGGAGCATCTGGATGCATCTGGTGGAGAGAAAACTGGGCGACTCCAGCTACCCATCTGGATCTTCCTGGAAAAAGGAGTCTCAACCAGTTTTTCCGCCCACGTTGTATGTAAAGGCTCTCAATTGCCATAGGACAACCATGTATTAGATTTCTACCAGAGGCACTGGGGGTGGGGCACCAGGTCTTCCAGCTTGTGGATCGATCGCTAAAGGGCCAGTCCACCGGGACCGGCCAAGGCCCATCAGTTCTGGTGGAAATGGTCGGGTCAGGTCCTCCATCTACAACTGGGTGAGGAAAGACTTGTCATCAGCAGAACTGTAAAAGCTCAAGCAGATGATCTCTCCTCAGAACCTGTGAGCTTCCAACAAACGCGTCGACGAAGGGCTCACAGTCTTCGCTGGTCGGAACCACGTCCGCACCGCAAGAACACGCGACGCGCGCGGATCGAAAACCCGGTTACCAGATCAATGTATCCCAGGGTGCTTTGAGGGGTCAATGGGGCGGCATATATGGCAGTCCCATGGAGCGTCTGGGTATGATCGATTCTCCACGTCTTCCACTCTCACCCACGCCCAACCCTCACGGCTATATTACATCTCGGAACTGGTCCGTTCCAATGAAAAAGGAAACAAGCACCCATTCCTTCCAATCATCCCCTCAAAACGCCAGGTTCTTAGTTCTTTTGGGTGTGTTCTCTTTTCCATCTCCCTCGCCACCGGCGGGTGCCTTGCTGCCCAGGAGGATCTCCGAGTGCCAAATCTGATCGATGATCACCGCATCGCCGCTGCCTCGGCCGCGGCAGGTGGACCAGTGGCGCAGGCCGGTGCCTGGTGCTGAAGATGTTCATATTCTAACATGTTGAAGGATTTTGGACAGACTGAGGTTCGTGGTAGGTGGCTAATTGAGATGTGTCTAAGTTACTTGCCACGAACCACGCGTCCTGGCTGTTCCCGTCTCCAAGTCTGCTCTCCGTCTCCCGTCGATCACGTCGATCACCGCACCTTCCGGTCCATGATAGATGCCGTTCCGCTGCAGCGTCTCCCGTCGATGGCGCCGCGCGGCCACCAGGATTTGGCCGTCCTGGATGAGAAATGAAGGATTGATCACCATGGCACCTGACAGAAAGCCGGGGACGTTGAAGGCTGGCGCCAGGGAGTTTGGGGTAGGTCCTTTTGAACAAAAACCACATGATATGTGTGCCTCCTTGTGCCCTTTGGAATAGGTCTCCAGGTGGTTCCGCGGTAGGGATCAGGATGCAGTTATCCAGAAAAACATCAAGGTCATGGAACAAGTGTTGAAGAGTTTTGCTGCCCGGCTTCAGAACCCTCAAGCTACTTGTTTGGGGCCGGCTTCAGCCCTAAGACCAAGAGAGTCGAACACCTGGTTGATTCCCTAGGGATCCAAGTACCTTCTCAGAAGGTGATTGGAGACACTGTTATGTAGGTTTGGAGGGTCCAAGTACCTTCTGAGAAGGTACGGATCCCTACAAATTAGAATGAACTTAGCTTTTGGCTGGGCTGCAATTTCATGCAATTTCCCTAAACAAATTGCACACGGATCTGACAAGAGCCCAACAAATCAAGGCGAGCAACAGGATTCTGGTGGCTCAACCGCCGGACTCTCTTGATACAACTCGCCAACGACTTCGAACGAGTAAACCCACGAACCGCTCGTGAGTCAGTGGAGTGGAGTGGAGTGGAGCGAGGCATCGGTATCGAAGGAGGAACGACGATCAAACTCAGTAGGCATCTCTCAACACTGACTAGGGCTTAGTAGAGGATCAAAGAACGACTTGATACCTGAGGACCCATTCCCTCATTCCCTACGAACGTCACAAGAAGCGAACCCGAACACGTAGCATCGAAACGGGCATGGAACCCGAACGGAGGAAGAAGCTACTATACTAGGCGCTCCTGGCCTTATTACTAGTATAGATATTAGTAGCAAATATAGCTACTAGTAACAAAATGTAACAAACAGTCAGAACATCGAGTCCGAACGGTCCAACTCCACCAACCGCGCCTCTTAGGCGTCCTTCAGGATCCTCCAAGTTCAGACGGACGTCCACCGTGCGGTTGTCGATCATGATCGACGCAGGCAGGTCGGGCAAGCTGTTGTCGTAGGCGGGGTCCGGCAAAAAGCTGAAGCCAACGAGGAAGGTGCCCAAAACGAAAGGCACCTAGCTGTGAGGCGACTAAAGGCAGCAACCATGTATACACGCATATCAATTGAACTATATAATTTGCATGTAACACTGGATACTGTTTGACAGGTGCGGAAATCTGTTGCCTGATCCTCTTTAATTGAGACTGGTGGATAAAGTATCCTGCAAAGAGAACCAACATTTATATATTTCTAGATTCCACCCCAGAAACGATTTACACTCGACATCTTCCGCAAGGAAGAAACACGTGAAAAGTACGACCTGTGATGAAGGAAGTCTCAATTCTTCAGTACTCCCAATTATCCTATGGTGTTACATGTTGAAAGAACACACTTAGTGCCAAGGAACCACCAGTCGGGCCTTAGTATGGGCGGCCCACCATTTCTGGATCGGTTGCTGAATGAGACGGGCCAAAAGGAAGGCAGTGGCGTAGGTGTAAATGATGTACCAGAAGAGGTTCACCAAACCTCAGCTGGGGATGAATACAGGCACCATATTTGCCTGGAATTGTCACGTCTTGGAGGTATGTTTGGATGCGCCATCAACATATCATAACAAACAATTGTGTATAATATATATATATATATATATATTCAAGCTGGTCAATGATAAACAAATGTCTGCACTTGGAGAGCCGCAATGCAAGGGTCAGTTTAACACCACATTAAGTCATCAAGTTACTTTTTTTTGTCCGGCGTCCATGCTTCACGAAGGTAACCGAAAAGTAACCATACAATTATCAAAAACATACAATAAACAAGCACAAACGCATGGGTGTGTATTCAAAAAGGGAGACCTCCCAGGCGTTCCGACCCCCACTGGAAGCTTTTGGGACATCAACACACCACCAAAACACGAGATCAGTTCCGTTGAGAATCAGGCGCGCACAGTCCGGCGCGTCCTGATACGGTCGCGCCGTGTCAAGAGGCGAAGCGCAAAGGGTCCAAGGAATTTGAACCCCCCTCCCGCGCAGGCAGCGGGCAAGCGACTAGAGAGAAGAAATATTGAGAAATCAATGACCTCAAGATTTTCTGGCAAGAGAACCCCCCAAAAAGATATCCAAAAATGTTCCCTACCATATGAACCCCTAGTGTGACCACACTGTTTTCCGGAGAAAATCTTGACCCTCCAACGGCTCAAAGGCTAATCAAAGCTATAGAATAACAGTGTCTCCAATCACCCTCTCAAAGGGTATTGTGGATCCTTAAGGACTGTCTTATGCCGTATGTCTCTCAGAGGTGTCCTTGAAGGCACAAAACAAAAAAGACATCCCAAGACCTAAAGCATCCGTTGTCGACACAAACCCACACACACACACACCTTCTGATGAGTTTCCATGGTCTTGAAGTTCACCCTGGTCCATCTTGAGGGTCATCCCTCATAACAGTTATAGCTTTCCCCCCCTTGGCATTTCAACCACTTCAAGATCTCCCTCACACAGCTCAGCCCGAATGCTCGGTCGCACGGTCCAAATCATTGCTAAGGAGCCGGTCTGTGGCCAAATCGCATAGCAAAGGAACTGGAAGACATAGACCTCGGCTTGTTGATGTCCAAATTTGCTGGCTGCGAGGATGTTGATGTGCATGTTATTCTTGCTGGCTGCGAGGATGTTCTAAGGGCTTTGGATGGTCCAAGAAAAGGAGGTGTTGTAATACTGTTTGTAATTCAAGAGCCGAAGGGACCCTTGTGTGTGTGAACCTCCCTCTGTGAGGGACAAGACTCAAGTCCACCAATTCGAGATAACAACTCGCGGGGATGGGCTAGCCAACACATGATTCCACCTCAACATTGAGATGTTGAGACTTTTTCGGTGACAAAACAAAGCCCTTTTTGGAAGTCTCAATGGATTGTCTTTTGAGTCGAGTTCCCAACTGTGCCAACATGTTGATCACCTGACAAGTTCGAACTGCTTTCAGTTTCTCGTATCTCAGCCTACGCATGATGACCAATCCAGAGTTGCTGCAAATTCACACATCCAGTCGAAGTATGAACTTTGTTCGAAGCGCTGATTATGTCTGGAACGTGAAGAATGGGGAATGGAAGCAGGATCGATTTTGGTGATTGTACCCTTCATCATGGCATGTCTTGATTCCTTGTGACGAAACCTGTGACTACAAGTGACAGCAATGTCGGAATGCCCATATGTCTGTTCCAAACACCTTCCCTTGGTTTGATCTTAGATGCACCAATCAAGCGCAGTCCACCTGTTAGATACAGGATGATTACAGGATAAGTCTGGCTGCACTCAATTGAAAGTTTCTGAGTTACCCAGAAAACATATGGGCAGCGCTTGCTTCCACCTGTTCCATTAAACGCAAAAAACACAGCACATGCCTAAGGATGAAACTAACGGTTCGGAGAAAGTGCACCTGAGATCACATCGAAACCTGCTGTCGATGATCTAGTTCCCACAGACCCGAGGTGCGCAATAGGAGTAGTTCTCAAGGAAGTCCATCTTGGAGAACATGTAGGAGAAGTATGGCCTCAACATCTGCTCTTTGAAGCCGTCTGCTGGGCTGTCCTTCAAAAGTTTGACAGGTGTCCACCTGCAGGCCATTGGCCTTCGTTTGAAACGCTTGGACGTTTCTCTTCTCGTTCTATCTCCGATGAAATAGCCTTATAAACAGGGATGTCTCCACGTCGTGCACGCAACAGGACCCAAGACCCTAGACTAGACCGTCACCGAGACCAAGACCGTTGGACTCGTCGGTCCCGGGCACGCGTGACCGTGACCGTGACAGCGGCACCGGAGTGGGCGAGAGCGAACGAGTACGAAGCACTGGTCAAGAACGTCCCTGAAAGAAGCGTTCGGTGGAACCGTTCGGCTGCGACCTTCTCCACTGTTCGGGTCTGTTCAGCTTCCATCTTCAGTCCATGATCATCCTTTGGGAGCTTTCTTCAGTGAACTGAACTCAAAGAAACCAAATGTTAAACGCTGGAAACGCCATGAGTTGAACACAAAAAGTGGTGACTTGAGGTGTTTGGTGAGTTCGCTGGGTGTGTCCTTCCGATTTCTCCTCCACCATTTCTCTAACTTCCAATCAATCCAAGGAACAGGGGCAGGCTGGGCAGCCCAGCCAAGCCAAAGAGGATCATGGCCTGGAACGGCAGCAGCACCTCAGCCCCATCAGTGCCGCCCTCGAGGGCCCGGTTCGAAACGAAGGACAAAATGCAGGTCATCCCCAACTCTTTTTGACGAAGCAAGTAAAACACCGTTGAAAGTGTCCAACAACCTGTATTGTGTTGTCTTCAAAGTGACCCAAGTTGAGATCCGGGTGGTTCTAAACATGGAATCTCACTGGAAGGAGGAAAGATCTTGGGAAAAGTTCCTGTGTCATGTCCAGATGGCCGCATCGGATTGGAAAGGCTCAGATCCACCCTTCACGGTTCTCAAAGCGTTCTCCGAGTCAAGCTTGAACGTCCTGAATTAGACCATTGTGCCTCAACCAGCTCAATAATCATGGAAGTGGATGGCATGGCCTCTTGGATGACCAACTTCCTCTACAAACAGGCGAACTCCACTTCCATGATTATTTCAGGGAGTGTACAGTGTACTTTCATTCGATTTTCTTGCAATTCTATACAATTCTATACTGTGCAAAATTATTCCCGCCACAAAGGTCGGCAGAATCGCTGCGTACCGCGAGCCGTGCGTCCCACATCCCTGTCCACTTGGGCAAGGGGCGGAGACTCGTGCCGAGAGCTTGTAGCCCCAGGCCTTGGCTTGGAACTCTTGCACGCTGAAGACCAGCAGCAATGCCTCAGGTGAGTTGCACACAAAATACGGCTTGAGAGGGGTCTAACGGATTCTGGCGGTCTGGGAGGGTTTTGGATGAGAATGTGCATGAGCCCAAACATGAGCCACGTTGTGTAAGGTTCTTATCCAAAAAGGGACCGGGATGGACCCTCAAATGTTTACCCTAACATTCAGAGCTTCTGACGACTCGGGTCTTCTCCATGCAGGTATATCACAGGTAGTCCATCGCCGCGATCGCGCGAGGCTTTGGATGTTCGATGGCCGGAAGCAGCGAGCGAAGTCGGGCTCACGGCCAAACGACCAATGCAAAGGAGGCCCAAGGGGAAGGTTCAAAGGCGCTTCGGCCTCCAAGTTCTTCTCCTTTTGGGGGGGGAGCGCTTCAGCGCAGCCAAAGGCCAAACACCAGACCATGCGGAAGAATGGACTGGAAGGCTGTGGAAGCGTTTCGTGTCCGGTGCCATTTGCGAGCTTCGCTTCTCCTTCCGAGCTTCCCCGTTGGTTTCGGAGGCTGCTTTCTTCGGGTCCATCAAAAGTCCCAGTACATCAGCAGTCTGTGTGAACTGCGATATGAGTCAAGAGATAGTATATATAAGCATGTAAAGACGCTCTTTTGCGAATGCCAACCTTGTTTTTTGTCACACAAGAATTACACAAAATCAATGACGTCTCGACTTGCTGGTTTTCAACGAAACGGAATGAACAACGAAAATGAGTCAGTGGGTTCAATCATCCCAAGTAAAGGTTGAACATAAACATATCGGAAACCACCACCCAGTTCTTCCTGGCATCTCCATGGTGTTTCCGAAACGCCCGCCAGCGCTCCATTGAACTGCCAAAAGGCTAAGTATCCTAGTGGTGCCACGAACTGCAAAGCCACGACATAGGGATTCCGCCAAGAGAAGCAGCCTGCTCCAGGTCAATTCCAGAACATCGCGCGACTCGTTCAGTGTCTATCCGTTTCCACAGCCCGTGTTGGGCAGTTGAAAGAATAGATCGAACGTCTTTAGGAAAATCACATGTCAGCGTAGTCAGCCCTTACATCTCACCAAAGCCATTTTCGTCTTGTCCAAATGAGTTGTCCCAAGAATGAAGCTGGAACTCAATGTCCGCTAAAATGTCCAGCATATGTTCACTTCAAAAAAAGCAGCTCATGAAACCGTTGCCAGAAAGGTCACCAGCAATCAATCCTGGATACTCCATCTAAAATGGTTCTGATTCTCCTTGTCCGATATTTGACCTGGAACCCTACAAGTAAAAAATCCCACTGCACTGGCTCCATGTAGAATGCAGGGCTGCACAGGTGAGCGCACAGGTGAGTGGCATGGTTTCACCGTCACCCAGCGCGCACTTGCATGCACGCGCACCGGTCGTCGTTCTCTGCCAGGCTGCCATGTGGAGAGGCGGTGGCTTTCTTATCCAAAAGCTGCCGAAGCTTGGCCAAGAGCATTCCCAGGATGAAGACCTTGACCCCCAAAGGTCCCCTTTTGGTGCGTCTTCACCATTCAGGGTGTCACGCGAAAACCCTTCAAACAGGCGCGCTTCACTGTTTACCTTGTGCATGTCGGTCGGCCTGCACTAGATCCAAAAGGTCTGGTCTGTACTTTGGGCTCCGGGCTTCTCCCTTGGCGTTGCTCCACTTGGTCAGTGTGGCGCCGAACCTATGTGACCTATGCTCCTCGCTCCCACACGACGGTTGGACGATCTCCAAGGATGTCAGGACGATCCTGCTGAGGAGGATGCTTTTGGGAACGAACATCGGAGAGTCGGAGAGGCGTTGGCCCAGGTCGGAGTTAAGAAAGAATAACTAGTAACAAGAAGCTAGTAGAAATAAGAAATACATATGATTGGAGAAGGCTCATGGGGCCATGTCCGACGCCGAAATCTGACGTGTACCGGTGCGTGTTTGGTCGAGTAAGTCTCATTCAAGGTGCATGGAAGTAGCAAATGGGATGGTACTTCAGCACGATCACTCCAATGTCCAGGAAGTCATCGGTCTGGTAGAACTGGTGATTCTGCCAGATGGGCCCCGCTGAAGCGGTCTCAAAAAAGGGCACCGAATCAGTTCTCGGAAATTCTTCGGTCGCAAGGACTTTTGGAGGCATATAGATTAGAATACCCAAACACCAAACACAACTATAGGGACCGAATAGGGACCATATTTATATACCTCCATTGGGGTGGTTGAAAAGGGGTCAAGGTAGGCATTACAGTATATATTCCATACATGGAGTGTCTGGGTTTTAGGGGTACCCATTATCCGCTCACTTGATGGATCTAAAAATCACCCCTACCCTTTGGGGCTCCTGGTATAGGTTTTATTCGTATGGCCTGCGTGATTGTCAAGATCCTTCAAATTCACCGTGAGATGGTGGTCGCGGGGATGGGCAAAGAACAGTCTGACTTGCTTGGTGGTGAGCATGTGTTGTTCTCTCCCTCGCAACACCCACCCGCAAGCAACCACTTTAAGCTCCTTTCAAATTATGATAATGAATTAGGCCTTGTCCCTCACAAATTGTCGGCAAGTTCACCCTGGACCCTAATCTGTCCAACAGTGCAAGTTACCATAATGTAGATGAGATTGTACGCAAAAACAAAATCGAAAAGGGGGGGCTTGAGCCAGTTTTTCCAAGAAAGGGCAACCCCTGATAATCCCTATTGCTCCGTCGTTCATGTCTCCAAACCAAACTGAATGTGGACATCATACATTTTCACCTGAGCCGGTTCCTTCCCCAGTCGGCCCACCAAGCTACCCCGAGACGAAACCCAAGTTGGGTCACTTGAGTCCACGAATTTGATATCTCAGACTGGTCCGATCTTGTGAGACTCATCTTCCTACCAAAAAAGAACATACCCAGACACTCCATGTATGCCATATATGCCGATCAGTTGGGGTGGTTGACTGGGGGTCAATTAATCGGCAGTCCTATGGCAGTCCCAGACGGGTCGTGTCTGGGATAATCCATTGATCACTGATTCATCGGGCGCGAGCCCCGTGAACCAAAATAGGGGTCCAGCCCGAAATCCCCTTGCTTTTCATCTAAGAGCTCCGATTTCCACCGCTCTTGCTTCCGTCTTTGCTGCCATTTTTGCCCGTGTTCCCTGGTAAACGGCTCTCCTTGTACCAGTCGACATCTTCACCGGCGATGAGTGGAATCAAAATCAAGAGCCAGGGGAGGCAAAAAAAAGAAGCCCATCAGCAAACATGTCTTCCTGAAGCGAACGAAGAGCGAAACGAAGTCGATGACTGTCGAAGTGGCCATGCAAGAGTTCTGTCCCAAACACGACCCGTCTGGGACTGCCATAGGACTGCTGATCAATTGACCCCCAGTCAACTACCACAATGTAGGCATATATGGCATACATGGAGTGTCTGGGTGTTGAGTTCTGGACATGGTGTGGCTTTCGCAGGTCTCATCGCCTTGCGTGACAAGAATGTCTGCACCAGACTGTTTTTTGACCAACCAAATTGCACCCCAGACTGCATCTGGACAGAACAAACAACTTTATCAAACATCGGAATATCAACGTGCTGAGACTCTATCAGCAAAAATGCTGGAACAAAGAGCATGAGTTTGGGGGCTACTAAAGTTACCCCAAATTTAAACAAGTAATTCTCGGGCAAACGATTCATAAGTTTCTCAGTGTCCACAAGGATACGACGCGTGTTTTGCCATATTATCGAGTTGTGTGCTACTCTGCCTGTTGATAGCCTCAAAACTTGTTGGATATCCCAAAAAGCGCAAACGAGACAAAATATCTGTACTTGCTGGTGGCTTCAAGGCTTCAACTCACTTGAATCTCCGTTGCACCACTGAGCCTCCTCTATAGAATAGTGAGGGCAAAGACTGTATTGCATCGATAATTACTGAACACTGGTGGAACATCTGCGCACCTCAACTTAGCTCATGGAAACTGGGTGTCTTGTGTCACACCTCTGGAACCAAACGAATCCTATCGGTCACTTCTTGATCGACGCAATAAGTGTTGCCACCCTTTTGCGGTGGCAGTATCATACTCTACGTACTTGCAAACCTTGTGCTTCAAGAAGCTAAGAACATGAACAGTAGGAACGACCTAAGACTCAAGGCTCAAGACTGAATTTCATACCAAGACCTTCATCATGTTAAATTCCTGGCAAAACATTACCTTCCGGATCTGATGATCCGTACCCAGAACTCACGAAAACATGAAAACCCCGGAAGGGATCTGGTGAGTTTCCAGCTTGGGCATGTCGATCGGCGTGTCGCCTGCCTCTTGTCAATATTATGCAGATTGGAAGGCAAACGGATGAACATCAATACTTTGAGTAAAACCTCTTTGTAGCAAACGACCCTCCTATGTCCTCCTCATGTCCTCCTCGTAAGAAATCCCTGCCGAGCTTCAGCAAAGTGATGTTCTTCAGTAGGTGGGATAAGGGTTTGAAGAAGAACCAATAGACCACCATGCAACCTCGGTATGCACAGTATGGGGGCACGTATTCATCAAACACACACACACACAAAAAAATGACAACATCATGGCAATGGTTGTTGTTTCCCCTTCTCAAGAAGGCCACATGACATTCGGCATGTCCCCAGTTAGTTACCAGCCATGTGTCTGTACATGACTGTACAAGTGTGTTGTGTATACAGTATATTAATATATATATATATGTGTGTTAAACCATACATATTTATATGACTGAAACAAAAAAATATCAACTCTAGAGGAAACACATCTAATTACTAAACATCACTAAACTAAAGTCACAAGTCAGTATAAACTGTGTTTTGCGTAGACTGTGTGAAGGCAAAATGCAAGGGGGGGGTGCGCGTGCGGTGGTCAGGGTGGGTCATGAACACCTTCCACGAGGTTCTGCGATGGCTTGTGGGGGTGTTATGGTTACGGTGCACCAATGTCTACAGGTCCACTGTTCCACGAAAGGCCTGCCATGGCCGGGCCGAGAACGCAAAGTGAGTAGAAGAGATTGTCTTGCAAACCCTTTTGCTGCGTGCCGTATACCGTCCCGTCCTTCTGGACTGCCTCTCAAATACATCCATCACAGCTTTGTCTTTGTTGGTCTCATGTCCACCATGCAAAAGCACCCCTAGTAGAGGCAGGATGTTGTTTGGGAGTGTGCCCAGTGCTGATGTTTCCAACACCAGGCCAAACAAAGCGGTCTGAGACACTCCACGCAGCGATCGGACACCGACCCCAGCCAGGTTTTGCCACAGTGGTCGGAGCTCGCCCTGCTGTGCTTCAGCTAGGCAGCTTAAGAACCAACAGTGCATCTGCAACGCGTTCTCTGTGAAGTGTGGAACCTTGGAAGTGAAGGGAGTGGCGTGTGTTCTCGGCGAGAAGAAGAGCGTGAAGAAGACGACACGCAGTGCGAGGCGCGACGACGTTCAGCGAGGTGTATTTGGCGAAGCGAACCGACCTCTACCTGTCATGTGAGAGTTCTGGTCCCCTGCCTGGAGCCACAAGACCAATGGAGTTTTACACTCCCATGATTCTCATTGTAGTTAGGTGGAGTTCACTGCACCACCCATTTGCAATAGAGGAAAAGACTTCATCCAAGGGCACTCCCGTGGTTACATGGGTGGTTAACATGGGTGTCGCCCCGAAGACTCGGATGACCATGTTGTTTCTCCAAATACCATGGCCCCGGCGGTTGGTTCACTTCCCTAAATCCATGATGATTCGGACACAGGTTCTTCTGAGCCATCCAGTTCTTCTCTGAAGGTCTGAGAAGAGTTGGACAAAACACGTTGAACAAAGGCACACGCCATTTGTATACTTGACCCGACTTGACCACGAGAAACCCATCCACTGGCCGTTTTCTACCTTCGTACATTCTTCTTCGATGAAAAGCCTTCGCAAAAAGCCCTCGGATCGCTTCCTGCTCACAGGAACATCTGGGTGAAAACTGACCAGGGCGGTGCTGAAAAAACCGATTCCATGGTCATTGAGGCTTATACATGGTTAAAGTCAACAAAGGCTAGCTGCTGGATGTGCTGGCTGGTGGGTGTGACACAAGCCACTCGATCTAGCTACAAAAAACATCCTGTGGATGTTGATCTGTCTTCCAAGCCCCACCCACCGTTGATCCCATGCCAAGGGCATGCCGGTATCACTTGGAGTATCTTGGAGTGTCAAAACCACCAGCGCATCCGTGTATGATTTGGGAAGTCCAAGCAAAGCCACCAGCTTTCACTTCCAACCGTTCTTGTTTTCCAAGGCAACAACGGCAAACATCTCAACGGCAACGACTTCGCACAAGGCGGGCTTCATCTCTGCTACAACTGTGGCCCAGTGACCCATACGATAAACAAGTCGAGGACTTGAGCAACACGTCATGAAACCACTCCCAATCGGTTCGCGCGTTTGGTGCGGTTCACAAAAGTCAACGGATGTTTCGACTGGAGGAAAGGAGCCCAGGCTTGCAGAAGGAAGCTCTGAGCCAACAAGGTGGGCCACTCCGCCGCCATAGTTCCATAGGCTTTGCCCAAAATGAAGGCCTGGGGGGCGGATACATGTCTGCTTGGGTTCAACGGCTGGGGAAGCGACATATGACCCAAACCATGAGGTGTGAATTAAAATAGGGAGACCTCCGAGTTCGACCTCTTGGAAATAGGGATTCGGACGAAACCCATTGGTTGGGGGGGGTCTCTCTATCGAAATACACACCAACGGGCCATGGCTTCAATCAAAAAAAACAACTTTCTTTGACTCTTGGGCAAAAGTTCACTGAGCCTACCAAGAGGGTCGGTGGGCCTTTGCTGAGCAGCCTATTGGAACAAGCTACGGCCACTGCGTAAACGGCCATATTCTTCAAGAGTCCCCTTACATGGTTTCACCCGGGAGAAGGACCTTCCATTGAACGAACCGCCCTCCGCCGAAGGCTCAAACCTGCTCAAACACCCACTCAGCCGGGCAGCCGGAATCAATGAGAAAGCGTAGAGCGGGTAGATGGTGGTGCTCCTCCGCAACACGTACCTCAGCCAGCATGAGGCAATGATGCTGGCGATGATTACCCACGCGTGGCGCTCACGTTGCACGATGAAGTGCTGGTGAGGTGTTGAAGGAGGAGAAGTTCAAAATTGAAGCACTCACATTCCAAGTGCACGACCGTTGGGTTTAGATACAGTTCCATTATTTAATGTTCGGAATGGACTGGTTTTCAATATGCATCCTTTCAAGCAACAAACACGTCCTTGGTCGGGTTCTTTGGACTTTCATGACCAAGATACAGGTTCTGGGTCGCGACACAAACCTGATGACGTGCATTGAACCTGCCGATAACTTCCGAGATTCTGGATGTCCCTGAAACTATTTGCAGTGGTTTCAGAGCTTGACCTGGATGAACTCATTGACCGGAAAGACGGAGCTCCTTCCCCTTCCCGGACGCAGCCGCTGCTGTGCAGGAGATGGATCTAGAACTAAGTTGACCCAACTGGTACACTCCCTGAAATCATGGTGGCCCACGGATGGCATGGCCCCGAAGACTCAGAAGACTGTCACAGTCTGCAGTCCCACCAAACAGGTGGTGAACTCAGTGAATTCCACTGATTTCCACTTCCCATGATGATTTCAGGGAGTGTATAGTGGATTGAGAGTAGCACAATGCCCGAGATAGTTTATATGGATCTCACCTGTCTAAGACATCTTGGGGTTCACAAAACGCAAACAGCAACTTGCCTAGGAATTCAACCAGGTCCAATAGCGTTTCTCGACTTCCAGGTGAGTACAAAGCTTAGCAAGTCACTACTAGCTCCGTTCATCTCATACCCTCCAGAATGTTGCTCTGAAAGAAACCTTGACAAGTTGCTGAATCATCGTTTCCTCCTTGGGATTCTTCAGGTAGGCTGAGAAAAGCACAAAGCCGCTCAACATAAAGAACCATGGCCTCCAACCGGGTCCGTCCGGCGTGACAGTTGAGTTGCAAGCAAGAATGAGGTCCGTCCGGCGAGAACCAAGGGGCTCAATTTGCCTCAATTGGCTCTGCACTTGGGGGGTATCCCCCTCAATTTCATCATCAACAGCAAGAAGGCCATGCTTTTTCCGCCTTCCTTCGTCCAGCCAGACATCCGGTCCAGTCACAACGGAAGAAGGCTACCTGGACCCCCCAAGGGGTGTCCTGGCTGGACTACCTCACACTACCTATAGGCTTCCATTGGGCACCCCTTGGAGGGTCCTGGTAGACATCTTGGGGTCGCATGCAGGTCTTTTCGTGTGGTTGATTGGTCCCAAAATCACTGTGGGGACGGTCCTGTGGGGAGGGTCCTGTCGCGAGAAAGAAGATCGTCCTCAACGGTTACGATTTAGAGGACCAATGGCACAAACCCCCATGTAAAGGACATCCTGAGGTCTGTGCTATTTACTCTGAAACCACTGTACTATCCAAAACACTCCATGGGACTGGCAGAAGAGATGACAAGGGTGGTTGAAAAGGTGTCAATCTAAGTTTTCCATAATACATAATACATCGATTGTCTGGGTGTAGAGTTTGACTCCCTCAGTTTCCGAGAATTAAGGGAAAACACTTTCCACCTGATTGGTTTTGAACCTGAAACAAAACAATCCACAAAAAAAACAGGTTACTAGGTTATTCACTAGACTCTATACACATCTTGTCCACTGTGTGTAATTGTAATATCTATATTTGTAATTTACATATATATATATATATCGTCCTCATCCTCAAACACCACACATCTCATGCCACAGATCTGCCAAGACACACCCAGGTGAAGCCCCAGCCGAAGAAGTAGGTCGGTGATGTGACTCCCTTCGCGAATAAGTGGCCCACCACCACATGCGTGGAGCCCATGAACCTCCGTCCCCATCGGTCCAAGGCGTACGGTCGGTGCGGTCGGCGCGGAGTGGGGAAGCGACAGAGTTCGCAATGGATGAGAGGTCCGAACGAAACAAGTTTCAAACAGGTCTCAAACACTCCAAGACTCTAAGTATATGCCGACCAGTTGGAATGATTTCAGGGGTCAATGTATATAGGCATATATTTTAGTCCCATGGAGTGTGAACACTTTGACCTGTTGGAGGTTGACAGGTCCAGCGGACAGCTTCGAATAGGGCGGGGCCGTGCGGCTGCAAAAACAGGTCCCGTTCACATCCGTCGACCATGCTTTTCTACAGCGCGGGGGCGCCTGGCCAGGCCCAAAGGATATTTGTTTCCAGCGGCGCGAATGTTGATCTGCTTCACTGGCTCCTTGCGCTCAGCCTGACACAGTGAGAGCAAGGAGGAGCTCTGACAACCTGGAGTTCTGACCAAGATGCCCCGCTTTCGGGGGGGGAGGGTGCACCGAAAAAGACCTTTGGGGTAGGATGCCCGGTCCCCTCGGTGTAGTCCAGGTATTGAACACAAGATGTCCTCCAGGAATGTGGCTGTGGGTGTTGAAACAAGAACATCAACCGTCTCTTTGGGGCTCCACAGCTCCTTGGGATCCGGCAGCTCCCACGAACTGCGCGAACCCTTGTGATGTCCATCCTGCCTACAAACCCAACGTATAGCACTTCTTCTTACATCAAGCATTTGGACAAGCCAGTAACCTAGCTATACCCAGCATCGCAACAGAAAAAAGCCACAAGGGCCAGACTGGCACCCACAATGACTGGACCCCACAACCCCACGACACCATCTATCTCCTTCTCTGTGGGGTCGGTCAGGAAGGTCTCCCACCCAGCCACGACTCAGTGTCTACCCACGACTTTCCCGGCCTCCACCCTCGTCTCAGCCACGGGCTCGGGCTGAGTGACAGGCTTCACAGGCTCTGGGAACGCATTGCAAGTCTCTGGTTCCTGGGAGTTGGGTGATGGGAGGAAGAAACATGCCAAGAATCTGAAATCACCAAACGCATTCAAAAGCTCCAAATAACCAAACAACACCCAAAGACTTCAGAGCCTATAGGGGGGGTTGATATGCCGATATGCAGGCTTAACCAACCTCTTTTTGTCTGGCTCACAGATTTGGGGAGCACATGTTGCAGCAAAACAGACCAGAATTCGCGGCTCTGGCAGCTCTTTGAGTCGTTCGACCTGTCTGTTGTCCGTTCGATGTTCACTAGATCTCCACCGTCTCCAGATCACCGCAGGGACCGGTGGTTGTTCGGATCACTCGCCCCAGCTCGCCACCGACCGGTGTCTGCAGTCATTCGGTTCGGGCGAAAGCTTCAGCCTGGACCCACCAGGCACACGGCATGAGGCTCCATGTCATGTAGAGTGAGACTTGATATGACCCAAAAAGATATCATGTTGCAATTTCATGCAGTTTCTGAATCCTGCTGTCTTACCAAGCCCTAGGGATCCAAGTGCCCTATTGTGTAACTGTATATAGGTGCCAGGAGGGTCCAGTCGTGCCGAACCTGAGAAGGTACGACTGGACCCTCCAAATACATAAACAATATAAACAGTCTCCGTCCTCACCGTACCTGAGGTTCGGTACGGATCCCTGGGGGTTTGTCTTTAACTTTCCCAAAGCCTCAAAGCTCGGGAGACCGACGTCTGGGACCCGCCAAAACACCCTTCCCATCGCGCGAATGCGCGCGATCGGCAGCAGTGTTGGAACGGCGGACTCGCGTTCGCGAACGGAGCGAAGTGGAGGGAGTTCCAAGGATGGGGTGCTGCAATGGTCCCCAAACCCTAGGGATTTAAGTATTTTCTCAGAAGGTACGACTGGACCCTCCTGGAAAGTACAGAACAGTGTCTCCAATCTCCAATCACCTTCCGAGAAGGTACTTGGATCCCTAGGGAAATTGATCGAAACTGTGTCCTGTACTGTGGGAATCGACGTTTTGGTTTCTATTTGGGGATCACAGGGTCACTATACAGTATACTAGAATGTCATACACCTGAACCATCGTGTTGTTCTTTCCATTTCTTTCCAATGGAAAGCCTTATGGTCATGCAGCAGGTAGAGCAACTGGGTAGAGGACGGACACCCCGATATTTAGGATGGTCTGGTAGAAACGGCTCCGAAAGTCAGTAAGACTTGTCCATGTTCTGCCCCCCAAAGCTGATGTCGCGTCAGCATCAGGTCTGGTAGGTGAAAAAGCTCTCCCAAGGTGGACAATACAGTAATCCTGGGTTACATGGAATTTAACATCGGGAAACAAAACACAACATCATGAACATGTTCAGTTCATGTTATATATATATATATGTGTGTTCCAACTTGTGTTGTGTAAACTTTTATGTCTGCTCCCGCAAAGGCACACCCTGACACACCGACATATATACCACGCGGCATTCGTGAGATCGTCCTCAGAAGGCTGCGGTGCATTGCCCACGCCGCTCCGAGCGCTCTTCACACTCTTGGCGTCGGCAGCTTCAGACTTTGGAGCCTCTGACTTCAAGGTGATGTGGCCTTAGGGGCCCAGCCGTGGCCGTGATCCCTAAGGCCTTCTAACAGGTCACTTTTTGGGGGGGGAGGGAAGGTTTTTGCAGATTGAACATGATTGAACAGTCGCAGGTGGTCATCTGTTCGAGGGTCCTGGTGTATTGGTTGGGGCTGATGGTTTGTTGAAGATCTGCTGTCAGCTGCGGAGCGACCATTCACAATTCGACAAGCCGAGCTACGTAGCTACTGGGCAAAATGCCGAGTTTGGGACACACCCAGCAAACAAGGAGCTGATATGAGGCTTCAAGAGTCTTGGATTGCTCCAAAATCATTGATTGCATGAAGAGGAAGACCCTCTCTTTTGTGGCACTCAACCAAACAACACATTCAACACACCAAAGCTTCTGTTCGCCTTGATGCAACCAACCCTTCCTCCGAACGCCTGTCTGTCTTGACCGTCCCAGTGGCTCTTCGACCGCGCCAAAACGGCCGGTGCACTCTCGTCCAAGACGTCTGCAAAGTCTTCCTCCGCCGCCCGCGAGGCAGCGCGTGAGGCAGCGGTCTTGGCGCTCTTGGAAGTCCTTGGGGCAAGGCGCGACTTCCGGTGGAGTGGAGGGCGGACGTTTGGATGGTGTTTCTCGCGCTCAACATCTATCAACATGAAGCGAAAAGTCAAAGAAGTCCTTCATGCTCTGGAAACTTGTGAAGGATGGAAGTGGCACACAAGTTGAAGCAGAACATTTTGGTGGACCGCTGGGCGGACTGCTGAAATGGCCATGATCAGTGGATGGCATAAATATCCTTAGGATTTGCTATGATTTGCTTATAAGCAACTGGAAAACAGTGAACCATATTTCCAGGTTTGTGGATGCACTCAGTTTGGGACAATAAACATCACCCGAAAAGCACCAAACCAGTGAGTCTTGTCCGGGCACCGCCATCACCGTCAGTCACCATCGAAGCTCCCATGATTCGCCCGTCCATGCAGGATGAATGGTCCAACATGATTTTTGGGGCCGCCAAGGTCCTTGCCAGTGTTTGGTTTTTGTTGCAGTGGATTCGGCACCTCATGTTCTCTTGGTTGTTGGAAGTAACTGCGGGGAGGCGCTTGGACATGCTTGCAGCTCCTAACCTCCAAAAATAGGTCTACTTCAACTGACTGCAGCACTATGAGGCTTTGGAATCCAATCCTGAACGAACAGAAAGCTCCTCTCCTAATGGACCCTGAGATCATGGACTTGTTGCATCCTGAAAAACCATCCTTCTTGAGGCGGAAAACTGCGATGTTCAAGCCAGTTTCCAGGAAGTCTACTTCTGATTTGTCAACCTTAAGACCCTCTAAGTCGAATTCATGTGTCTTTTTGGGAGTGCCTGGTGGCCCCCACATCCCTCTCTGTGCTTCTGCTTTCAGTCGAACGTATCCTTGAATTGATCGTTTCCGTTTCTTGACATTGACCAGTAATATCCAGTAATTACCTCTTTTTGAAGGTGCGGGACAAGTCCAAGCAAACATATGCCAAGTTTCTTGGTGCTCTGATGGGTCTTGGACTTCTTCATGCCCTCGTCCTCCACGGTAGATAGCAGCACAACAATGGGGATATCTCACCCGGCGATAGAAACCCGTGCAAGATGCAGCCACATACTGCATCACTAATGACAACTATTTGATGGGTGAACAGAGGGTTGTCCAGGGTCTTCAGAGGTCCAGTAATGATAAAGCTTAAGCTTTGTCAAACTTGCATGTCTCATGCGATGGACCCAGCTTTTCTACCAAAAAGGGGAAGAAGCCACCAGGAGGACCTGACCTCGTATGACCCGACCTCATGGACCTCCTGACCACTGTGACCTCTGTGGAACCCCCACTGCACCACGGTGACCAGGCGTTCCATGAGGAAAATGGTCGAGTTTCCACGGGTCAATTCTGAGGGTCCGTTTCTTGGATTCAAAGGAACCGAGAAAAAAAAAACATATTCCCCAGAAGGGGATTTAACCCTATATAGGAAAAATAAACCAATCACCTGATCCACAAAACCAGGATTTTAGCCTGCTGTGTGTTTTTTTTTTTTCGAATGCACGAAACGGCAGGCAACTGAACAAAGGCAACTCTGGAGGTCACACCTGTGTGACGCTCGACGCTGTCAAGTTGCCACCAGGTTCCCCAATAATTCTGTGCAAAGGCGACAGATTGTTTGGCAGACTTGACAGCACGATCTCTTTTGTATCAAGTTTGATGCATGTTGACCCTTTGTAGTCTCGGCTTCCGGATTCTGCCGCTCTAGACAAAGAACAACCAACCTGTCCAACCTGTGCTTCGAGACTCTAAACGCTCAGTCCTCATGCACCTCCAAGGAGAAGTCCAGGTCATGACCTCGGGGCTCTGGGGCGGCAGCCGTATGCGTCCGTAGACGGCGATGGTGCCCAACACCGCGGGGTTCGAAGGCAGTAGAAGAAACCGGGACGTCAAATGCACGACGGGACCGTTGCCCTGGGACTGAGAAACACCATCCTGAAGTCACAAGGAGCCACTGAAGACTCTCATTCACCCACAGTGGTGCCACAAGGATTCGATCAGATCCTCTTGAGACTGAAAAACACCCAAACCATCCACGGATCCCCTTGGATCCCCTTAAGAGGTCGGTCAAACCCAAATACAAATGGAGTCGAATGGATCAAACCCTCCGACCAAATGCTTCGACCTTGATGTTCTTTGGATGATGAAAAATCGTGGTCGTGGTGAAGAGAGAGAATGTCACTTAGACGATTTCGCTGGCCGTTTTAACACCACTGACCTCACCTTCAACCCTTTGCTGACCCCCAAACCCGATCGCTTCGCCCCATTTCACCCCCAAACCCGTAGCCCTTCAGTCTGGTGGCCATCCGAACAGGCAGGGCTTACAGGCCCACTGCCACATGTGGCCTCTTCATGACATTCGCTGCGGAACAGAGCCACCTGCCGCCGTTCCGGCTCTGCAGCCGGCGCCGGTACAGCGGTCGCCTGGAGGGGTGGCGATGGCGGGAACAGCAGCGATAGGCAGAGGGGCAGAGGGGAGTGGATCCGGGAGTTTCAGAAGTCTAAGTGATGAAAAGCATGCTGAGAGTAAATTCATAGATCGAGGACTTAATAGCTTTTGTGAGAGCTGTTGAAGCATGTTCTTAAGCCAAACAATGGAATGCATGCTTGGTTGCTCCGGACCCCGCCCACATTGGGGGCATTGGAATCCACGATCTCCCTCGCACCCCTGGTCTCTGGCCTTGCTCTTCTGCTCAGGCTTCACGTGGTATTTCTCCTCAGATGGGCATGGCCCACATCTGCAGATCTCAAACGAGGCAAACGGTCAGATCTGAAAACCATCGACCCGAGGCAAAGGTCACTGTGAGACAGGTTGTTTGCATGTTCGCGGGTTTGGTGGAATGAACCCGGTTTTGGAACGCCTTGCCCAGCAAGCTAAGGTGACATCTTTCCAAAATAACACTTGTTTAATGTAGTTGTTCCTCTTCTTTGGCATCCCAATGGCAGTTGATCGAGATCGCAAAAGCAACACCCTGCCAAAGACCACTTTGAAGAGGTCAGGTTTGTTTTCTACACGGCCAAGTTACTACTGTGTAGGATGCCTGTTGGTTCAATACGAAACATCTTTTTGTTGGTTCAAACAAAACGACGCCCAGGCGGTTTTATTTTTCCAGGATTTGAGGCCCTCTGGCAGGATCATGAGTGAACACGAGGTCGTCGTCACGAGGCGGGCGAGGCTCCCACAAGTAGATGCCGACCTTCAAAGCTACGGCCATCAAAACTGTCACCAGTGCCATCATCCACTCCTCGGAGCTGTTTTCAGGATCCTTCCTATCCCAAGTGAGGAGTACTTCTTGGTTCATCAGTCGAGTCAATCATGGTTTCGTGGAGTGAAGATATCGTCTGGTCTGTGAAAACCACTTGGTCATCCATGATGGGCCATGATGGGCCATGCCATCCACGCTGACCCATGGTGATTCCAGGCAGTGTATATACGTACGCACGATGATTTTGGTCAGGCAAAGTCAGGTTTAGCTGGTAGCAAAGCCTGCCAGTGCTGGTTTATACGGGACTATCAATTGAACCAATCACGGATGGTGGGAGCGTGTGGTGGGAGCGGTATGGACGTGTGTGGACTGTTCCTACCAAGCGAGGATTAGGCCTCCAGGATCCTCCAGGTGCTAGTTGAGACAGCGCTTTGGTCTCAGTAGCTGACCAAACTCAGGATAGGATCATCCAAGTGTTCTGACCATCCAAGTGTCCTGATGCTTCTGCAACAGCCAGGACCTGCCCCTATTTGCCAGAAGTTACAACGGTGATCATGAGGCTTTTGACGGGCAAACCATCGTTTAGCTTAAGGCAGGCGTCCAAGTCCTGGGTACACCAAAGGCGAACCCGAAGTCCACGACTGTTGTGGCATCCATCCGCCAGCATTTGCACCTCCGCTTCAGGTTGATCAGCCAAAAAGGACGAGATGTTGATGGCATCATCACAAAGGCCTCGAGATGTTCGGGCGGTATCGGAATCGGCCAGAAGAAACCAAATCCAGAATACTCGTGTTTTCTCTGAGGTAACGTTAATCTATGAAGTGAAGCTTTCATGGAAGGAAGCATCGATTTCAAGACTGTAAAACCAAAGCCTATACGATGTGTTTGTCTCTATCACACACATGCACAAATGTTCAGGGTGTCATGGTGTTCCGTACCTAAAAATAGCGTTCACAGTGTTCCCACATGTTCTCAGCCAACCGTCCGGGACGGTCCCGTCTCAACCGGACTCGGCCCGTCGCCTGCGCTGTTGCCGGCCATCGGTGGATCGGTGGCACGGAAGGTGCAAGGCACCTAGTGAGGCGCAGGTCGTCGGTCCCACGATCACTTCTGACAGGTGGCGACGGGGTATATGGTGTTCTGGCACCTTTGTGAGCGCGAACGAAGACTGACGATGCCACCGACCTCATCTCTCCGAAAAACAAAAACAGGTCATCACATCACATGTCAAGTCCAAGGCACGCTGTTCATGCATTCCCATTTCTCACAGCGTGGCCCATTCAAACAGCTGGGGTAGTAGTTGGGGCAGTTCTCAAAGCGTGCCTCGCGAACTTCGGCCGTGAGGGCAAGCAAGTCGTCCATGGTGACTCGACTTACGCACATGTCGGATGGTCGGGATGGATTCCGGAAGCCTGCGCCTTTTGAATGGAACAAACATCCCTCTTCTGATGGAAGCGTCTGAGCTACGGCTCAACAGTTGACTGCCAACGAGCCATGTTATTGATTATACAATTAAAGCCATGGCTTCACCTACATGACTTTCATGCGCTTTCCAACGCTATCCTTCGAAGGTGTACCAGCAAGAACAACTGCTACCCAACTTAGATCTTTGGATCGAAGAAAATGACTCACGAGGCAACCCTGAAACACTTCCGATTTGCACAGCTCTAGCTTGTCTAGACGGGTTTAGCTGCTTTCTGATCGATGTCTGCTTTCCCACATTCCTCTCCAGGCATTTCCAAATATGTTGCCATCATCCATCTTCGGAAACGCCGGACACGCCGGACTGGCAGCCTCAGTCCCTGAGCAAAGGTTCCCTTCCCAAACTGCATAGGTTCCACTGGCCGCAAGTTCTGCTGGGCACATGGCGTTGAACATCACCTGCCAAACCTTGGAAGAAACATCGCAAAATGAACAGAACGTCAACAATAAGCATGGAATATGTCTTCAATTCAGTCAGAAAGTTCACCCCCAGAAACCACTGGATTGATTCAACAAAAATAAGTTAACATGGAACCTGAAAATCATCAGGAGCCGAAAAGAAACAGTTGTCCTCTACGCTGCAGACCAGTTGTTTAAGGGTCCGATGCAAATCGGAATGGTCCGACGGGATAGAACCACGCTGACACCAGGTGGGTCCCTTCGGGGAAAAGGAGACCTGGACCGCTGGACCATCCTGTCTGAGTGTCCTGTCGTGTTCGATCCCGGATAGTAGTGGAGGGTAGTCCAGCTAGGTGACCCTTAAACAGGTCGCATGGTCCTGGTACGCAACATGTGGTTTTCTGCTTTCTCCCTCGAGAGGGTCCTGGTTCACAGATCTCTACTGTAAGTCATCGGAACATTCCAGGACCTTCTGCGAGGTAAATAGAAATTCAGCAAAGTTCAGAACATGTCAAACATCTGAAACAAATTGAATCAAGCATACCCTCAGTGAGTCCATTCTGGCTGTCTGTCCTGTCCCCTCTAGTGAGGTTATGTACCCTGAAGTGCTTACTCTGTGTGTACTGTGTATATATAGGTTCGTTCCTCCTGGACTCCAATCTCGGGACGATCACTATTGGAGTGTGTGGATGTAACCCAAACTCACATCGAATTGTAGAATCCTTTTCGTTATCGTTCGGTCTATTCCACCCTCACTTGTAACATGAGAGCAAGGACAACTGTGGCTTCCAGCCGACATGGTCCGCACGCCAAAAAAAAGAGAGCGTGCGGACCACTTCACCATTCGCCCACCATGGTCCGCATCTGTGCCCGGGGGTTTACGCTCACGCTGAGGCACCCAGAGGTTCAACATCTGAGAGCCGTGGCCTTGCACCACCTCCTCCGGCATGGCTCCACCTCAAAAGGTGAAAGGAAGTGATCGAGGTAAAACCGAACACCGGTGGAACATGGTGGAACGAACATGCCGTTTTGAGGCCGTTGTATAAAGCCAATGTCTTCCCAAAAGGTCTGAGACGGCATATCATGCCTCTCTTTTTCGGCAAAAAGAGGTTGCATGTCGCAAGACAGACTTCACTTCCTACGTAGTATAGACTACTACGGCGGAGTAGACTACTACGTGTGTAAAGGGTGTGTAAAGGGTACTACTACGGTAGTAGTATGATTATGTATTCTTTGCCGGCCAACAACGCCGCTTAGCCCAATCCGAAGACCACACAAACACCCGCACTACAGACCCCCTCAAAAACTGGTCGCAACTAGTATTGGTAATGTATAGAGGAGACAGGGCCCAGTCGCAAACCCTCCATGTTTTCAAGAGCAAATGTCTTTTAACACAAATCAGCGGCAAGATTTCAGTGTTGTACAATGTTGTACATCTAAAATCATGAAAGTCACACCCAACAAATTGACCACATCTTCAGGACGTCCCTTTTAGACGTCATCTCGTCTAAACCTCGAGAGTCAGGTCAGTCCATCGTTCACTGCGCTGCGCGGCGAGCACTGACTGCTGCTGTGAGACCCAGCTTGAAGAAGTCCACGAGTCGGAAGGAACTGCTGAGTCGTCCAGCCATGGCCTGCCGAGTCGGCGTGACCCGCGTCCCGCGTGACCCGGCGGTGGTGGGTTGTTTTTTCGGGTTCAGGTGACCAGCGATCGCCACATGCGGTTGATGTCTTGTTGGGATGAGGTTGAAAGTCCCCAGTTCCACGATTCGACACTCGGAACACATGGACGGTCTTCGGATTGAACATGGTCCTCCGACATCGCTATTGTCCCATCCACGAAACCATGGATGATTTCAGGGGCGTAATATTAATGTACCCCTGAGGCGATATGAACTGCATAAAATTCGCCAAGAAAACATGACAAGCTCTGCTAAAGCTTGTATAGCCGTGGATGAAGACCGCTGCGTGAGCACCGCGGCCTCTTCGATGTAGCCATTCATGACCTGGAAGTTCTCGTTGTCGCGGACACCATTGGTCCAGGAGATGGTTTGGACGTAGCAGCCCAATTGACTGGCACGGCCGGTGGTGCAAAAAGAGTCCATCTGCGCTAGGACCACCTCCATCTCATCCTGGCGAGAGAAGACGTCTCTGACCAATCGAGTAATGAGTAAAGTTATTATACATATGTTTCCGCCAAAGGCATGGTGAAATGATTGTTCTTCAAGGAAATGATCTGTCTGGTCAGAACAAGGGTTGGTCCAGATAGGGTGTTTCGTTGGTTAAGTCAAGCTCCCAGCTATACTACTGTATTTGGCTCAAGGATCTTAGTGGTTGCGGATGAGCACTTTTGTTCCGCCGGCCCTGTGAAGTTTCTCTGGGCACCCTGCCGCATCTTCCCGCTGCTTGGCCACTACACCGACCCACTCTGGGCCACCACACCGACCGCAGTTGAGATCCCATTTTCGGTCACTTGCTGTATGATCTGTATGCCCTGGAGCAATTCTTTCCACTCTGCTCTAAGTCGACTCCAAGTCTGCGCAGATCTTGGAGACGCGCGCCCGTCTCCACGCGCGAGACACGAGGCGCGAGACGAGGCGCGGACCTTGAAGACTTGGATCGCTGGATCTCGGTCCATGTCCAGCAGCTCTTTTCGAGGACAGTACTCCTGGAAAATGGAGGGAAGAGACCCCCCCCTCCCCCTCCCATCTCCCTAATTTCTCAGAAGAACTGCCCGGTGACTGAGGTATTTCATGTGATTTCTGTATTTTGACTGCAATGTTGCTCACCGGTGACCCACCGGACACACTGGACATACCAAAAGCAGCCGGCGCAACCAATCCACTTCCGCACTGCCGTGCTTTTTTTTCACCGTACATCTCTACGGCACACCAACCATCCAATCCGAAACCGGACATCTCCTGGACATGGAAAAATAACCATAGCCTATACCCAAACACTCCATGTATGGAATATATACCTACATGGATGCGCTCCTCTTTGGTGACGCTGCACACGTTGTACCAGGCGCCCACCTGCGTGACCACGCCCACTCGGGCAGCACTCCAAAGGGCATCCTCCGCAATGAGCTCTAAAGCCAACTCCTGTCGTTGGCCGGCCAAGCAGGTCATGTACGCCCAGTTGGATTATAAAGAACCACCACCCAAAGCGGCGGGGTTATTCATGGATCATAGATCATCAAGCGGGTCTATAAACCACCCGACCTGGGTGGTGCTGCCGGGGAGTTGATCAGATTATCAGATTCTATACGCTTCAAGGACTCTTCAGTCAAGGCATCGGAAGCTTCCAGCTTAGGACTGAGCATTGAGACAGACCACCCATTGAAGGGTGGTTGGATCTGGCTTTTGATGCAAGCACATGCCAATTCCAAGTGGAGAACACAAGGTGTTTTGCCTAAATAACATTAAATAACCTTATGCGATTAGATTGAGTGACTGGGACTCTGATATTGGTACTTGGGTTTTCCAGGAAAGTCTATATATGCTTCAGCCGACTCCTTTGGGTCTACAATCCCAGTACAACTGCTGGTTGATATATTTGCCAACACCAGCGCATCCTGGCGTAGTCTTGTCTCATTATGGGTCCGCACTCTCGCAGCCAAGATGGAACCTACTATAGTGCTGCGTGCGCCTCTGAACACTCAACGCCTACACTCTGACTCACTAACATGGAAGTGGAAAGTGGTCCCTTGGAAGACTATTTCCTTTACAAACAGGGTGCGCCATCCACTTCCATGTGATGTGTTCGCCGGTTCGTGTACATCACGGTGCCACAAAAAGGCGTATCAAGAAGTGGCAAACGTGAGATAGACATGGTCCAAATACTCTAGGAGTCACATATGGAGTTGGATGGCTTGGTTCGTCCCATCCAGGCGCCGTGGATGTGAAGTCGGGGCACCCGATATATTCTCCGGAACCGGAACCGGCACCGGTTCTCCATGTGACTGGCTGGCACAGATCGGCACCCGGATCCACAAGACCTTTGTGATTGGGGAAAATTTCAAAGGTCTTAGGCCTCAGCCCGACCAAGGACCAGGCCCATCCCTCTAACCTGCGTTAGCAACGCGTAAGGAACGAAGTGCTACTGGGCTGTGCAGCTTGTTGAGCTTGTTGCAGTCTTCACAGAACAACATGTATCCGGAAGAACTGGAAGAGCCTCTTTACCTTTAGGCTACTATAGGCTACTGGACGTTTTTGGGAGTCGACCCGTTCAAGTACCCCGGAAAAGAGGTGCAACATCGTACATTTGCAACTCATTTTACAGGGTCACAGGGTCATATCACATTTTCTGTAGGGTACTTGAAGTCGGGTCCAGGAATACTTCTTTAGATTTGGTCCATCGTAGACCTTTAAAAAGGCAATGAACCACGTACTTCCATGCAGACTTAACCGGATATACCCCCAGCTTTAGAAGCATTGCCACTCAGCGGCTGTGCGATACCAGAAGAAGCTGATGAACATCGTGATGCGGACTCCACTGCTGCTGTAGGCTGGGGCCTGCGGAACAGATCTACACTCACTGAAGAACTGCTTTCTGTTCTCAGTGTGTCTCCGTGTGCGATAGGGAGTTTTGGCTGTGTCCTGTGCGAGCACCCTGAACAAACACTTCGAAGCCAGCCTGAGCGAACAAGGCCTCGATCGCTTGCTTGCAAGCAGGGCGGTTCTGCTGTGCGAGGCTAGCGTCCACTTGCCGACACTCTGGTAGCTGATTGCCTAAGACACTCTGCTCGGCCAAATGACGCATGTGGGTTCGCCCCAAGTGATCTGGGTTTTGTGTAGGACTCAAGTTTCAACATCCCCCAGCTAACCAGGTGGCATGGATTATAGATCTCAACCTGTGTCGAACTCGGTTTATGATGGTTTGTGTTGAACTCCCACAAGCGATTTCGAGGGCCGTTGAAATGCTACGGGGAATCCAAAACGGTTGCGAAAGCGGGGTGTTTTGCACCGGGGAATCACCCCTTCCTTTCGGCCATTAAAAACAGGGTTGACCTGGTTTTGTAATCAAAAGATCAATTAGTAAAACATATAGTAAAACAATGGTTGTTTGGTAAAGTACCTTTATTAATCAATGGTTGCCGGAATCCGAGGGCATGTGTGTCCGATGTATTTTGCTCATTCACAAGGGATTGTTCCAATATGACGTGGCTTTATGTCTCGGCTGAACATCTGGCTATGATTCAGTGATCCTTCACGGACTCTTTTTTCGAAGCATGGTCTTTCACTGGTCCTTCTTCCCAGGGATATTGAAAGTTTAGAGTTTAGAAGTGTAGCAAGACCCACAACCAATATGACTGCAATAGGCAGTCATTCTAGTCAGAAACGATTTCAGGTCCACGGCAACGTAACCAGGAACCCTAAACCCAAACCGGCGTAGTACGCCTTCTCCATCCCAATAATTACAAACTGAGTTACACCCTGAAATAATCATGGAAGTGGAGTAAAAACATGTAAAAACCACCTATTTGGTCTTCAGATTTCATGTCCATTCGACATCGGGGATGCCAGCCCATCCACGTCGAGTAAAAAGAGTGTAGCCCATCTTTTAAAAGCTTCACTTGGCGAAACAGCTGCGGAACTCAGACTGGCCGATTCATACTTATAGCTTGGGGTGGTTGGACCTCGGAGTCAAAGGACAGAGTTACTATGCAAGTTCGGCCCCATGGATGGTGTGACGACTGCGTGTGGCCCTCTCCGTCCGAGCAACTCACAGTGGCCCAATGAGTGACCTTTCCCTCTTCGATGACCACATCTGCCACGGCGGAAGCACCAATCATCTCTCCAGCACGGTCAATGGCATACCTGAGGACCATGTGGATCCCAGTTACCACAATATAAATCAGGCTCCACTTTAGGGGCGTAGTCCTCAACCAGGGCGTAGTCCAGGGGCCCCCCAAGAACCACTTAGAACCCAGCTCAGGTTCCAAGAACCACCCCCCCAAAAAAAGACCTGTAAACCACTCATATAGCAATTGCTTTCATTTCCCAGTGTTAATAGTATATAACAAGCTATATAACAGCTATCCAGAAGCAGTTTTATTGAAAATTGTAATCATTTTCAAAATTCATATATTACATGTAAGCATCTATGCTATGCATTTGGGTTTGTGATTATATGTCCAAACCAATTATCTAAGTGTGAATCCTCATCGAAAAGTTCAACCATTCATAATTGAAAAGCTCTTAGCCCAGAACCAGTTCTAAGAACCCCTTTTTTCACTAAGAACCTCTAAGAACCCAAGGGGGGTTCCAAGAACCTTTCAGAACTAAGCCCCTCCCCACCGAGCCCCTGAAGTGGAGCCCTAATAAAGAACATGAAAGAACCAGTGTTTATAGGTCGATGCTTTAAGTATTTGACACCACTGGTTACCTACTAGTGTTGGATCCTAATCAGCCAAACCGCCCCCTAGCAAACAATCAAGGGAGACCGAATAGAGTCATGCCCACCAAACGCCTTTGGGATTGAGGAGTAGTAGCAGTAGTAGTGGCGGTGGTGGTGGTGGTAGTAGTGGTGCTAGATGTGGTGGTAGTGGTGGTGGTAGTAGTAGTCGCAGTGGTAGTAGTGGTATTAGTAGTTGTTGTTGTTGTAGTAGTAGCAGTAGTAGTAGTAGTAGTAGAAGCAGTAGTAGTAGTGGTGGTGGTGGTTGGTGGTGGTTGGTGGTGGTGGTAGCAGTAGCAGCAGTAGTATATTACAGTAGTCCCAGTAGCTTGGATATCTGTCCTGGGGCTCCAAATTTACTTATTAATCCCTCCCTAAACAATTCTTGTATTGTACGACCCTTTGCAAAATTGTTTGGAGCGACGAAATCCATGAGTTTCAATATGGCCGGGTGTTTGACACAGCATTTCAGGACAGAGTTCCATGAATCAAACCTCTGAAGAGTTAAGCAAGGAAGTTAAAGGGCAAACATTGCAGAAATAGCAGAGCAATATGAAACGTAAACATCAAAAAGCACCTTCAGCGGTTCTGGGAGAAAAATCGATCCGTACCACTAACTCTTCAGGGTGTGGGAAAAACTTACTTCCCCTGCAATTCGGACGGAACACCCACTGCACCACGGTCGGGTTGGTCTTCGGAAAAATGGTCGTTGCTTGGCACCGGTCCCTTCCATGGGATCGTGACAGCGGGAGAGTCTGCCGGATCTGCACTTGATCTGGGGTCAGGTGCAGTTGATTAGGGGTCAGGTGCACTTGATTCTGTTTCATTCCCATTGGACTTTTCGACCTTAGGTGGCTTGCCTGGATCCGCTACTGCCTGGGGTACTCGCCGAAAGAAATGGCCGCTGCAGGCGGAAAGAAAAGGACACCGTGATACACTGGTCCCCCTCAAAAAGAAGCGCACATGAAGCTGATTTAGAAGCTGTAACTGCAGATTTCTCTGAACATCTATAACGTTGGACCCACCCCCAAACCGGAGGACACGAACAAAAACTGGAGCTCAGCTGGGTGGCTCGTCTGGGGCCAAGAAGTTGATCAAGTTGCCGAACCTCGAAGCGTTTTGGGCAAAGCGGCGAAGGTGAGGTGGTTGGAGGTGGTGCCTTTTGAAAGAAAGGGAAAGATATTGGAAGATGAAAGAAACGGAGTGGATAACTATGATGGTCATGGCATGTCATGGCTGTTTGATCATTTTTGCACAGTTTCTTTGCCTAATGATGCTGCCTTTCAAGAAAGAAAAATATCAAAGCTTCCAGGAAGGCAGCTACAAGGCTTCTTGGTGCTTGATAAGACTGAACAAGTTTAGACCGCTTCTGTTTCTGTTGCAGTTGCGGGCAAGTCGAAAGCTAATCTTGCAACCAAGGCAAAAACGATCCAATTGAACTCCCAAAAAGAATCATGGAAGTGGAAAATAGGCCCCTGGCAGACAATTTCTCTACAATTTCAATGACTCGGAGAGCATGAGAAGTCCGACCGGATCAAATCCAAAACCAAGGGACTCCAGCAGAGTATTGGATGAGCCGGTCATCATGATCCAGCTTCCTTGCATGCATTGAGTGGCATGAGAGGCCTCGAAGAGGTTGTAGCGGCAACCAGCGTCTAGATTGAGATTTCCTTGTGACACATAGCCCGACACCGCGGGAGTTGGTGCGCTGGTGTCCTTGGTTCTCAGACAGGGCCACTGGGCCACTGGTGTCAGCAAGAATGCAGTCATCTGTCCTTCATCAACTATGCCTAAGGTATCAATATCCTTTTTGGTTACTGTACCGGGTCAGGTGGCCTTTGAACATGGCTAGTCGGTCGTAAGTTCATGCGCTTGCGTCCCCAGGTCTGTCCAGTGAAAAGCATCTTTTATGGAGAAGCATGCGCTGCACAATGTTCACAAAGGGAAGTTCAGGAACAGGACAACCTGCTGTGTATTACCCAACGAAGAAGATCGGCCATCCAATCTAAAAAGGATCAAGGCTTCATTAGTTAAATGTCACAACGTCCAAGGCTTTCCCGGCTTTACCTCACAGCCACAAGTCCTAGGTCCTGCCCAGGTCAGGAAGAAATCACAAACGAAGTCGTCTAAAGAAGTTCATTGTCTTAGCTACATCAACAAGCACCAATTGCGAGTGCTCTTTGTGGGACAAGGGCCAAGCATAGTCTGGCTTATTTTTGGGATTCTATCAGGGGGTGGAGTGGGCAAGAAGAAAACCACACAAAAAGAAGCAACTTGTGAAGCAAACATTCTCCCATCAACACAAATAAAGCACACAACCGCACAAAACAACAGAAATAGACTTTATATTATGTTTTCAGACACAACAACGACTCCACGCAGCCGAAAATATTACAGTACAAAACCATAACTAAAACCATCCCAAAACCAGCAAGCCTGGGCCGCCCAGTGGCGCAAAGCGGTTTGTTGGCATCGACCGAGATCACGACCTTCATCTGCCCCACCGCCACGGCATAGCCCTCCGTGGTCTTCCGTAGCGACTCGGAGAGCTTGGCGCCGTTCTTCACGCCCACGAGGGCGTAGCTCGCCCGGAAGGAGAGCTGGTCGATCCTGGTCGGCGAAGGTCGAGCCTGGTTGGCCCGCCATGAGAACCCCAAGAATCCCATAGAATCCCATAGAATCCTGGGTCCGAGTTACTTCTGAATGGTTGGGTCATCCATAAATAGGTCCATCCAGGTTCATCAGTGGATGGTCGGTGAAACAGCGGCAGGTCAAGCAGGTCGGTCTTTCTGTTTGGGTCCGAGTTTCAGCAGCCTCAAACCCTTCAACTTGCATAGAAAAAGGATGAACCAAGTGTTTGGGGCCCAGAAAACACCCAAATGAAACACGTGTTATCGACGGCCCATCGAAAAGGCGACACCAACGTTTTCTTGCACCACTAACGACACTCTCTTCCAAGTGAGTTGAAGGAAGCTGGCCATCAATGCACCAACAGACTCGATTGGCCAAAGATGTTGCCTTTCTTCCCATTGACCAAAGACTGGATCGGCGCGTTGAGTCTTTGAGAGACAGTTTTTTGGGGGTCGCGATGCTCAGAGCATCCGGTGGGATGTGTTCGAAGTTGCTTCTTTCGACATGGCAAACGTTTCACCAGGAACAAACCACGGAACCACGGAGACATGTTCACCATGTGATCCATGTGTAGATGTTTTTTTCTGGGAACGACATGATGCCACGATGCCACAGAGACGTCTGGTTCTTCATTGAGGCACATGTGTTGCTAAACGACCCCGCTGCTGAGAGGTGTTGATCCCTTCCAAAAGCTGCGAAGATAGGTTTTGGTGGCAAAAAGGGCCGAATCCATATGAATCCATGTATTCCTCCACTGACTTCCTCCACTTTTCTGGGTCGGTTCCTCGGTTCCAAGAGACTAAGGGAGCTTCTGAACTTGGACTTGACTTACACTCCCTATAGAATCATGGCTACGTGGATGAGAAAATGGATGAACATGGTCCCCAAATGGATGACCATATTTTCCACATACCAAACAGGTGGTTTTCACTCCACGAAACCATGATGAGGTACCTGGGCCTGGCTGGGGTACATGGGTCTATGTTCCTTCACCAAACCCAAGGGGTCGTTGAGTTTTGGGTCTATGGAGGGCCCCCGGTCTCCGGTATGACTGGACCCGACCGTGGCACCCTGGGCCGGGTCCCACCCACCTTTACCGAAACGAGACGGTATGACTGGAGCCCAAACGGGTACGACTGGCAGCTCCATTGCGTTCCGCGCGTCATGGTCGCTCCCAAGCTCTTGATCGCCTCCTTGGCCGCCAAGGACAGGTGGATGGAGGCCTCGTCCCGTGCGCCCACCAGGACCTCAGGAGAAACGGCCACGGGGTGTGTGGCGGGGGCACCCAGGTCTGCACCCAGGTGTCTCAGAATCGTCAGCTGATGGGAGGAGATCGTCCACCGATTTCTCCATGCAAATGGGAGATCAACCAAAGACCTGCGAGGGTTTGGAGGCTCAAGCTGGCGGCTAGTCCTCTTTCAACCTTCAAGGTCCTTTTTCTTTTCTGATCTTAATAGGGAGATCCGCCCCAAAGGGGTGTTTGTATTTTTCCTTCTTTCAGGAGGTCTTCCGCGGTTCCAACGTCCAATTCTCTCTCTCTGCCCTTTTGGTCCATATCTCATTGCATCGGACGCTTCGATTTTAGCCAAATCTGAAGCTAAGGAGCGATGGTTCCATCGGGGATGCTATCAATGAAGGCCACCAGATTCTCTGAGGAATTGTCATTCAACCTCATCCGCCGGCACGCGGTGCGCCGCGAAACAAAGCCGCCGCGCACACCCGCAGGAGTGCCGACGGTTGTTCACCCCAAAAACGTGGCACCGCGCGCGAGAACAGCGTCGCGTTTTCTCGCGTTTTCTCGTGTGTGAGCTCGCTTCACCCAAGGGTGCGCCGCGAGGAAGACCGCTGGAGGGTGGAACCTGGATAATATTTAAGTAACTGGTGAGGGGAAGAGCCTGTTACTCGCATTGCCTGGTAGCACATGGTAGCAATTCATCTGTTGTGAACTGGGTCACCAAGGCGGTCCAAGCACTTGAATTTGTTTAATAAACCTGGAAAATCAGATGCACAAAATAAACGAATCACATATTCCCCTGTGGGTATTTACGCAGTTACGGGAACATCCACCTCAAAAAACCAGCCATGTCCTAGAAAGATTCTCTAACTCTAATCACTTCTCTAACCCATCTTCGAATATCCGCTGCCTTCTTCGCCGAGCCGCATGGTGTCGAAGGTCTGGGAGTCCTTCCGTGTGCCATCTGGCCGTACCAGGACCAGTGTCAAGCCACGCGCTGGAGCGTGGTAGAATTCCACGCCATTCGCAAAGAAGACTGCCTCAACCAAGAGATCTGTATTCAATTCATGTACCAGAATACTCCAAGGTAATTGTGTGGCAAGCCGATCTTTTTTCAAGAGGGCACAACCAATCGCCGCAAGTGTCGATATTGTACCCTTGAACACTTGTGTTTTCTTTATGAATTCATGTTCTCATGTGGTAACCCCCTACATGAATCCCCCCCAAAAGAAAAAGGGTCAATCACCTCCAAGAACATGTCCTAAAATATCTTATGAAATATGTCCAGGAGTGTCCAGGACATCTGTTGTGGTTCGCGTTGGAATCTACTGTATGAGTTCCAAGCCCCCTCAACCCTACTCTCCTTGAGACATTCTCGCTTGCGCCCAACAGCCTCGTTCCCATCGGCGAAGCCGGCGCTGCGAACTCCGAGGTCAGCCATGTCTTCCGCTGCGGGCTGGCAACCTGGAGAGTCGGGACCTCTCTCACCTCTGGTAGAGTCAACGGGTCCCCGTCCCCACTGGGTGAACTTCAGGCATTTGGCTTGCAGAAAAAAAACAAAACACACATCTTTCACCTGCTGACTGGTGATGATGTCCTGACTCGCTTGACTGGGGTGGAGCGAGCTGGGGCCCGGCTGAGGGGAGGGGTCTTCAGCCAGTGGCGGACTCCCAACAGTCTACAGCCCTGCTGGGCATGCTAGGCATGTGGTTCAAAGAAAGCAAAACACAAATACTGTAACGACGGCGTTTGAACAGCTTTGCTTGATTGAGCTTGTTGATAACACCGAGCTCTGTGACCTGCAACATTCGCACATATCCGCATCTCCACAAAAACATCGCTCAAACCGTCTCGACAGGCGTCATGGAGATGCGAACTGTTCCAGGTGTTCTTTCTCCGAGCCACAGACCGTCTCATTTTGGCTTTCGATCTCCCACATATTGGCCTTCAGCACCTGGTCTGCGACCGCATGAGCGTCTGCGACGGAACGAGTTTGCACATGTTTGCGCTATGTGAAAACCACTTGCTTCTGAGATTGTCCATTGGCATGTTTGATTGAACAAAATCGCACAACTCCCCCATTCCTGGACCCTCATTCAGGCTCAAATGTCTGCCTCAAGAAGATCTGCCTGAACCAGGGTTTGTCCTTAAAAACTGCCTGCGGGCAGAAATCGTTATTCAGGCAAATGTTGCAAATTACTTGCAAAGCACCTAACCTGCAAATCTGCCGTTTATTACTTGCAAGTTGCATTGTAATATCTATTCATCACTCGCAGAATTATCGATAATGAACAAAACACATTCGGGCGAGAAATCCAGGGTTGGGCGTGAAAACATGTTCGGGCAGAAATACTGCCTGAATGGATTTGGGCTGGAATTCTAGCCTGGACGAGTTATACAGGCTTTACATGACTTGAAAGTGATTGTTTTAATTAGCCCCTACCTCCGGCTCGGTGAATGAACCCCATATCATAGGCGTTTTTTCCTGTCAGATGGAACTTGCGATAACTTGCAGGTTCATCTTTGGATTGAAATGCACCGCACTGTCGTGCACTGCCTTGACAGCTAGGGCGCAAATCCACTAGGACAGGTCAGCATGGCGCAGCTGGGCACCGCCGTGGTGGTGGCCAGCTCCGTGGTGGTGGTCAGCTCCGTCGTGGTCACCGTGGTCGATGGCACGTAGGTGACACCAGAATTGAAGTTGTACCTGATAACTTCATCAGCTTGGAATGGCGCACCAAAAGTGGAAGAAAGGTTGTTCAACATGTCAACATGGTTCACTTGACCCTTATTTATGACCACTGTTGATGATTCAAAAGTTTGGACGTCTGGTTGGGGATCCAGATCAACCATTTGGCCGATGTTCACTGTTCTACCACTATCAAGTTCAGAATCTTCTGTCGAAGCCAGGGGCTTGACCAGGACAGACAACCTCCGTCCCAGTTTTCTACCTGGTCTACGCTATATAATGTTGACCTCTGATTAGTAACCTACCCTAAAATATAGTTTTGCCACAGCTCCTAAAACGGATTAGTAAACCCCCCCGAAGTAGACTTAGGTATTGCTTGAGTTTAAATATCTTTAAACAAACACATAAATATATATATATACACCTATACAGACTCCACTGGCATCGAAATTTCCGTGTCACTCAGGAAAAACCAGGTTTTCAAGAAATGCCGCAACTATTTTAGGGTTGCAGCGAGTTTCAAGAATTGCGGCGTGTTTGCTCAACATGGATGTTTGGACATAGTCAGGATTGACAGACCGACCGCTCTTTCTTGATTCTGTGGTTCAAGAAGGGAACGGTTCTGAGAGGTGCCCACCCCCTTTGCGCCCTGCATTGTGTTCGAATGCAAGCACGTTTTTGCATACCACAGTCTTTTCTTTTGAGTTGGAAGAGTTCACGCTAAAGTCTTTGCAGCTAGCGCTTCCAGCCATGGAGTTTGCCACAGGGGCAAAAGAAGATAAAAGAAGTATTGGTGGCAGAAGGCAATCGATTTTGTCTCAAACTTGCTTGGGTGAACACGCGTGCACTGCACATGCATACACACATTTGGACTGTGAGGCCTTGGCCAAATGAACCCTCAGTGGTTCTTCCAGCTCCAGAAGACCTTGTGGCCTACAGAACCTCCAGAGGAATCTCGGTAGTTCACTGGCGTGATGTATGCATCGACCTGTTGTTTGCAACCTTGATTGAACATCATCTCGCCAGCCACCATCTACTGGACCTCTTAGGATGTCTTGTCGGTGGAACGGGCAGAAGCCATTCTTGCAAACTACAAGGGAGGTGGGGGGCCGCATTGGAGCTCTCTCCAAGTTCATCCAAAAGGTGGGAAGACCATTGAAGACCATGAGCCCCTAGGCCCCTATAGCTCACCACATGGTTTATAATAAACCTTCAAAAGCACGTCGGATTCCGGTGCACTGAACCCGTTTTTTCTGGCCGAACTGAGTCCGTTGAGGTGAGAAAGGCCGCTAGCGCCGAGAGCTGACGGAAAGCTCGACGCTGCCCGCATGACGTGGAGAAGCCTTGAGGACGCTGAGTGCCATTCAGAGTCAAAGGGATTGGTTTTTAGTCAATCAGCATTGGATGCCACCACGCAGGCCATGGCCTACCTGGATCTGCTGACTCCTTTTTCAAGGCCAGGTCATTCTACGTAAAGACTCTTTCATGGAAACCAAGTCTCTGCTTATTCCTTCGCATGTGAGACATGAAAGAAGCGTCGCTCAGGCCTTCTCCTGGCGGCGCAGCTTGCAAACCGACCCCTCGCTTGAAGGTGAGGTGGGGAGAGCGAGATGTATCGCTTCATCGTCTTTTTTGGATGGTCGGATGCTTCCGTGCTGGCTGCATGTTAGACTGTTCGACACGAAGCAAGCTTCCAAACCAACTTGTGGTATCAAGGCGAGGTGTGAATAGGTGAAGTGTTTTTGCATCTCTTTTAGATGACCGGATGCCCTTTCGACTTCAGGTCTGCTTTGGTGGTGGCTTTGGCGAAGACTCCATCGATCTTCAAGCGCTCCATCCTACTACCAAGGGTCAAAGTTGCAAGAGTTCAAACATGCTGTATGTCCACGGTCGATTGAAGTGAGTCACCAAGAGAGGCTTCCGTTGAGCACTTCCAATAAGCGTCAATCAGTTGATTTTTTGCAAAGATTTTGAATCAACACAGCTCTTCCTTCGAGTGCGGTGCACCCATGGCGGAAGCAGAAGTTGCGGGAGGAAATCCTCTTGAGGGAAGAAGCGGAAGTTGCTTGCCAGGAAATTGGAAGATCCAGCTCTGATCCGGCAGTATGCCCTGACCAACCAAGCCTTGCTGAGGTGGCCAGACCCCCAAAAAACGGGTTGTCACCCACGCATCCATCAAGTTCTTGAGGTATGGTGTCCTGTGGCCCCAGATCGCAAGACTGTTCCAGTGGGGTTCTTGAAGCAGGAGGCATGGGGCTGCAAAGTAGCTACCTGGCTTGCGCAAAGACATGTTTTCAATGCACAACGAACTAACAAACCACAAGGAACCACAAGGCTTAAAAACATGAAGGTTGTTGCGTTCAAGAGCATGACCAACCTGCAGCAGCCCCCCGGGCTGAATCATTGCGAGGCACATGCAATCAACGCTTTTGTCACAAGACTGCTTCGCACGCACGATGGGTCCAGAAAGCGTGAATCTTACCTGCAGCTAGCTGCTAGTTCAATGATGATATAAACAAGTATTAGAACTGTCTGGGATGGCAAGCAGCCAGGGATACTTGCATTCGGAGACTCCTTAGCATCCTTGGAGTGCACTTCACTGCTCGGGCCCGCTCCAGTGAATCGGCACAGGCTATTTGCAACGATGATGATGGTGATGGTGGTGCTGATGGCCAAGATGAAACCCAAGAGGCTGAACAGGTGATGGATGGATGCTGAGGCTAATTCCAACCAACCGAAAGCTGCAGTGCGTCTGTTTCGTCTTAGCCTTCCCATCTAGCTCTGTTCGGTCGCCTTTGCAGGTGGAGGTCGACAGGAGCAAGCAGCTCAAGGTGGCTGCCACTTTTCTTGGCACAGATGCCACAGGGGCTGAGGAAGAGGGTGAGAGTGGTCCTAAACCTAAACCTACACCAAAGGGAAAAGCAAAAAAACAAAATGAAAAGGCCAGCTGCGTCGACAGGCTGGTACCGTAGTAAAGCGCAAAAGAATGCCGGACCTGCAGAACACACAGAACCTACTGCACCAGTTCCAACCACGCAGCAGCAGGATGTGCCCATGGAGGTTCATGCGCAGCAAAAAGGTCGCGACAAGGGTCGGCCAGGTCGCAGGAAGCAGCCGACTTCAAAGAAGGCATCTCCCAAGGCGTCCCCGGAGAAAAATACAAAGGAGCCGTCGTTTGGGAAGAGAAAAAGGAAAGCGCACACAACGGACCAGGAGGGAGAGAAGGCAAAAACAACGAAGCAAACTAAGAATGTGCAGAGCGCTTCCAAAGGAACAACCTCTCTGGGGCTTCCAAGGTTAAAGCCACCTTTGCCAGGCGTAATGTTCCCAAGAATGACCCCAACCGCTCATTCAGCGCGGGCTGCTTTTGAGAAGGAAGTTGAAGGTTTGGTGCATCGACCTTCCAGTTTGAAGGACCGGACCCTGTGCAAGTCAATGCCAGACATTCAGCAATGCTGGCCGTCCAATTGTTTTCATTTTATCCCAACCTATGGGTTCCTGAATGGCTAGGCCCCGGCCCCCTGCTTCAAGTTCTGAATGAACCAACCTCTAAGACCAGATTAGACTATTTTCTAACTAATAGTCTATTTTAAAAATTCCAACTAATAGTTAGAATTCAAAACAAATAATTGTATAAACTAGGGGGTAATTTAAAGTCTATTATTTGTTAAATAGACTCAAGTCTATTTTGCTAAATAACCTTGGAATGTCAAGGTTATGTTGCAAAAAAACATGAGATCTTGTAAAGACATTTTGTTAATTCATCTTAGATGTTTGTGGCCACACTTTGGAAAAACACAAACTTGAGCAATGCGTGTGACACGCAAGGCCTAAGTAACATTGAGCAGAGCCTAAGTAACATGGCCTAAGTAAAATGCAAGTTTTTTTCTTTCAAGCTCACATCACAAGGCAAAAGCCAAGAGTAAGCCCAAAGCAGGTCAAGCCTGAAAAGCAAAGCTTTTCAGACAAAGTGCAGAAGTGGAAGCTGAAAGAAGACCATAAAGATGATGAGCCAGAATCAGATGATGCTGGTGAAGGTGGTAAAGACGATGCAACAGTAGCAGCAAAGAGGGACTTGGCTAAGACAAGAAAATACAAGAGGTTGTCCGATGCAAATGCAATTCCCCAACACATCTCAGAACATGCACATGGCCTAAGTAACATGGCCTCAGTAGCCGTACATGGCCTATAAGTAACATGCAAGTTTTTTCTTTCAAATTTAACACCACAAATTTTGGTATATAATTTGTATGTCCTGATGTTATTCCAAAGAACAACCTCAAGGTTATGTTTCAAAATAGACTATTTTTCAGTCTAAATTCAAGTCTATTTAAAAAATAGACTAATAGTTAGAAAATAATCTAGAAAAGTTGTTCTAACTAATAGTTAGAAAATAGTCTAATCTGGTCTTAGAGGAATGGACAACCGGTAGGCCATTCCACCCATACAAATTCAGCAGGACAAAGTC